GAGGAACAAAAGATTAAAACAGGTGATGTCTCACATGCCACCTATTCGCTTTTTTCACCGAAACATCTCTACGGGCTCAGTGGGTTGGCGCCATGGGTCACCGTGACCGGGCTGAGTGGGATCAGGACTATTCCGCTGTGTGTGAGCTGCATTTCAGAAAGGAAGATTTCGAAGATGATCGGTCATTTCGCACCGGCATGCAGAGACAGCGCCGTCGGCTCAAGAGCGGCGCAGTCCTGTCAGTATTGACCAGCGTGGATGGATTACGCGATGCCCCCTGTGCACGAGCGGCCAGCGAAACTAGCCATGGCATCCGCACGCCACTCACACCAGAAGCAGGTTATGAAGGGCCAGACCGATGCGTTCTTCACGAATGACAATGTCAGCTATCAGGTGGCAACTACAACTGGTCGAGTGTCCGGCAGTTCCTGGAGAATGAGGCGGTACTCCGAAGTCGAACTAAGGGCCTCAGATGGTGGTCACTGGTCACGTTTCAGCCCCGCCGACGCCTCCGCCCGAATGGCACCATCACGGCAGGAGTGACAGCAGGATGGTGCTCTTGTCATCCAGGAGCTAGTGGCCGCGGTGGCGAAATCCACTGAAATGGAGGACCTGGATGACAGCGCCAAGGCCTCCCTGGGACACAGCTCCGGCGCCTTGGCACGCTCGGCTCTGCGCTCGGCCACCAGGCGTAACAAGTACGGTGCCTCCGCCCTGCCTCCGCCAGCCTGCTGATCTATCATGGGGCTACGCCGCTGGAGGTACGACTGGAGAAAGACGAGGAAGACATCGACCTCACCGTGAGGATCTGCCAGATTTGGAGGCAACTGCCGAAGACGGAAGCTAACAGGAACCAGCTGCTGGTCTGCGATCAACCAAGAAGTGACGCAGAAGTGACGAAGATAGTCGTAAACCGAGATGTCGAACTGACCGGAAGTCGTTTGCAATGATAGCCAGCCACGACGTCCTTAGGAGCCTCCTTCCAGAGATGTATGCGACGGTTTTCAATCTATTTGCTGGAAAGTGTGGAAACATGGTAACTGATAAGTGAGACAGACACTCAAGACAGTGCTGTCCATCGGAAGTCAGGAAGCAGACACCCCAGCCACTGGTGCAACCCGATCGAGGAGCGACAAGAGGCCAAAGCTCAGCAGGGTCAAGAAGATGTAAGGCGGGGAAGTAAGGTCGCTGATGAAATTGTGAGGGCAGGCGAAGCGAAGTGACACTTGAAGGGGTGTTTTTTTGACGTTGGTTTGAATCGTGACGTTTGGATGGTTCGTTGTGACAGGACTGGTATCGATTAGCATGTAAATAAAGAGATCAAACTCCCATGTATGTACAAGTACTTTTTGTGGATGAGAGTGAGAAATCATTATAATCAAATCAGTGGCATACGTTCCCTCACAACGGTGAGGAAAGTGTAACCAGCAGCGTTTAGTAAATAAGTTGCCATTATGCAAAAATGCAGCAATAAACACGAGCACGGCTAGTCGATTGCTTCTTTATAAGTTTCATTCACATAAACCAATATTTTTTGTTGCCTGTGAGAGGAGATATCGAAATATGGGCACGAAATATTCGGTTCTGTTTTCGGCCTCTTACTGCAGCCACCGGAATCCTGTTTCCAATCCAGTACTACTGTTATCTGTGCCTAGGTTGACCTTGACCTTGACCTTGACATCTGTACATCGTCGAACAACATGTTCCATGATAGTTGGGAGGTAAGACTAGCAAAAAAGGCCGAAATCAAAGTGTCAAAAGCTCACAAGGCCCATAGCCAGCGCAAGATGTTCAGAATTGGCCATTTGGGTCATGACATGACCTGAAAAACAAGGTCATATCTCTGAAACCAAAAATCACAGAAACTTGAAATGTTCAGTGGACATCAAGAAAGGATAGAGGAGCAGCTATACAAAAAAATCAGACTTCTAGCTCTAAAAATGTTGAGTGCAGAGCAGAAAGACTACCTGGGGGGGGGGGGTGGCAACCACCCCCCCCCCCATGTGCGGGCGAGGGTTAAACAAATATAATGCTGTATAGTAATGATCTCATTTAGACATCAGAAGCACAAGTACACGCAACCTTAGAAGAACACTACATATGAAAATTCAAGGGCCTAAGTCAATCCAAGCATTTCATCGTCATATGAGTTCCTGCTAAGGATGGTACTCACCCTCAATAAGGCTCAATTCCAGCCTAAAAATGGCACCACTCGCAACCACACAGCACCCAACACCGCTCTTCACTGATCACCGGAAATGGCGGAAAAAATGGCGGACCTTTGACGCGTTCCTGATGCCTCCAACGAAGAATCATTGAGGAATACTATGGTTCTACTCGGGTGATATCAAGAGTATTTTGAAAGAATCAGGCAAAGGAAGCATAGCAGAAGAATATGAAAGCATCTCAAGGGAATATGAGCCTCCCTGTGATTCCGGCAAGATACCCTCTGGGCAATGAAAGGGTATATTGCAAGAATAGATAGAGAATCATAAAGGCATAACTATCAGCGACTGGGGTATCAACAGCATCTTATACGCACGGAATCATGCAGAAGCATTTGGGGTATCAATGGCATAATATGGTTCTCACAGGGTGATATCAAGAGCTTATTAAGAGAATCAATAGTTCATGGAGGTCGAGGGAATATCATGGGAATATGAAGCCAACTGCGATTCCATGAATATACCCCATAGGTATAATGAAGAGATCAAAAGGGAATAATTGGGGTATAGACTTCAATGATCAGGGCATCAGAAGATTCATTTTGGTTTTCAGTGTAGAGATTATTGCACCCTCAGCCATTTTAACGTGACAAGTTTGGATCCGTCACTTCCAGCCAGGCTCTCAGGTCATAAACTGGAGTAAAGCAAAATGTCAACTCTGAACAGACATGCCACACAACCTGTCTTCTTTTCAATATTATTAGCTTTCTGCAATCATCGTCTGACTCCATCTCGATCAAACGCAGCATCCGGTTTCTACAGGGGCGTTTGACTGACCGGCCACACCATAGCCAAAAACAAAATCAAAGCTTCATGCGCACATATGCCATACGTAAGAAACGGATGAAAAAGGCACAACCACGGCACAACTCTGCGCGGCAAACGACGGACAATGTCCCACGCAAGATCCCGCGTTTCTTCAGCGGCCTTGAACGGAATGAAAACATTACATTTCTTTTTTGGAGCTATTTGATGACGTCAAAAAATACAATACCCGTTTTAATGGTCAAAATCGAGACAATTACTCACAAAAATGTTTCCCTAATCCCTTTAAGCATTACAAATAAATGCTTTTAAATATTTAAATGACATTGTTTTTTCAAACAAATTAATATTATTTGCTTACTTAAACGTCATATACAATGCTGAGATCACTTCGAGGCTGTCTTAGAGTGTAGCTGCACTGGCAACCTTTAGGCTAGACTCCAGGGGTCATTATACCAGAACAACATGATTCTACCAGCCAGTAGTTCATTTTTCTACTAGATTGGTGCTACGCTCAGCATTTAGGTGCCAGATTCAGAAAAAAGAATAAGGCGTACCGATGAATAGGTGCCAGAAACAGCTAATTAAGGTCATTTTCCATGATTGGTGCTGGTATCCACCAAATAGGTGCTGAGGACCAATTTTGGGGCGAGTCAGCTTTTAGGTGCCAGAAACAGCTTTTCTGGGACGCAATTAAATGGCGTCCCTTTCGAATTAGTCAAGATAGGAACAAACTAAGGGCATCATCGTGATCCTCTCGTCAATCCACATCGCGTTAGGCGGCACGGGCGGACATCGATAGCAGCGCCTCTATCGGTCACTAGGGAAAGCTGGGCTGTAAGCGACGAAATACCGGCTGAGTTGTCACACGTTGAATAGGTTTATAGACATCAGTCTTGTGAAAAAGTTGAACTTTTGCCTTCAATATTTCTACAGGCAATTTTAGAAGTGTGTTCACATAGATTACAACACCGTTAAGATTATTGTATTCACTTCAAGCCTTCCCTTTTGTTCTTGATGATGCGGGAACTATTTCTAATTAGTGTTTCTAGCTTAAAAAAGAACATATTGTGCAAACGATGAAAACAACACATAGATGGAAGATTTTAAATGCAATTTTCTCTAGCAATTAATGGTAAATTCTCTACAGATCAAGGAAAAGATGCATGCTAACTGATAATTTAAAGTTCTTGGGGCCAGTTGTTTTCTTCTTTTCTTACGTCGCCCCAATGGCCGCGAATACACTTGTGATAACGCCTGTCGGAATGATATATATGTTGACCTCGAAAGGTCAAGGTCAAAGGTTGACCTCAGGTCACGTGACCTCGGGGTCATCAAGTATATCATTCGATGCGTCTTGACGAGCTGAACACAATGAGACCACCCACGCGTCTGTATCTTGTTCCTGTACGGAGTTATTGGCCAAAAACCTTTGGTGACCTTTGATGACGTCACATGACCTCACAGCTGCCCAATAGCAAAACAGACCTCAAGGTAGTGAAGGTTGATCGTATATGAAGTCATGTATGGTATATGGGGTCATTCCGACCCGTTTTAGTGGTAAAAACAGGGAGTTGATTTTTCCCCCATTGACTTATAATGGGGAGGTCGCAAAACTGACCTGACCTTAGGTCACCAATATCAAAATTCCGAGATATACAAATTGCACATACTGGTACCCTAACTAAAGCCTGAAGAGAAGAAATTGATCGGTCAAAAACTCTAGCTCTGGCGTGATTGCAAACTTTTCTGAGGTAGGGTCACCAAACCGCCTCTGGTGACCTGACCTGAGGTCAGATCAACTCAAAATTTTCAGACATGTTGCGTAGAAGCCTTTTAGGAAATGTCAGAAAATTTGAGCTTCCTAGCTGAACGCGTTTGGGAGAAATAACCAAAAAACCTCAGGGGGGGGGCTTCTGAGGCCCCCCCCGTCAGGAATAGGGTTAAAAGTTCGAAGAATCAAATAACGACCGCAATGCAAATCACTTCTCGAGAAAAAAGAACTTGTACTTTATTTTTGTGAGCTATTGACCACATCCACTGTATTTACTTCACCCAAACAGCTTTTTTTACCTTTCACATACCTAATCAAACCACAAATATCATTTCCGCAACACCTCCATCATTCATGACGTCACAACATGTTACGTCATCACGTCAGTGCTGCCATACGACGACACAATGCATGACACCCAGGACGAAATCCTGTTTTTTTTTTACACGACTTGGAGAAGAATTAGGACGCATTTGTGCTGTCCGTAAGAGTTGACGCACGTTACCCCAAATGACGTCAAACCATAAGACTTTATTTCATATGGCGTTGCATCACATGATACCACAGCATATGATGTCATAACATGTGACGTCAGAGCATATACCACACCATATGACGTCATAGCATGTGACGTCATATCATATGACGTCACGACACGTGACGTCACGTCACACCACCGGCTCAGAGCTGGCACATCACATCCCCAAGCAGGAGGTTACACTGGGCGTTACTCCACGTACCATCGCCCTCATAAACCCACACACAGCCCTTTCTGCCGTTATCCAGAACCGGCATACCCGGAGCCCAGTTGGAGAAATCGGTGGCAGAGCCGTCCTGCCAGCTCCACTGTCCCTGGCCGCCACCTGAGGAGTGACGTCATTGGTTAGTGCATGACGTCATTGGTTAGTGCGTGATGTCATAGGTTAATTCGTGACATTAGGGGCTCCGCCAGGGGAGAGTTGCGGGGGTCTGTTCCCCGAAAATAATTTCGTCTCTATAATGCATATTTATTTTTAGGAGTGTGTATTTTTGGTAGGACCGATCGCAGCTCTAAAGGTAAAACCATGGCGGCGCCCCCGCGTGTGAGTCATAGGCATATTGGTAACACCAGATGGTAGTAGACATATTTGATGGCGTCATGCGATAGTGGGTGTCATAAGTGAATGGTGAATAGTGATGTGAATGATACAAAATATATGTTTAATAGCTCAGTACCTACTAAAAAGTGAAGGAATTAGGCAGTAGAAGAATAATATGATAACGAGGTATGCCATTCCGATGGAAGACGTCATATGTGCATGGCGAGGTGTTAACCCGCGCGGGGCTGGGGGGGGTAAATTTTACCCCCCCTCGCGAATTTTTACGATATCTCAAAAACGGCGGCGCGCAGCGCCGCCAAACTTTCAGTACCTTTTCTTACATCAATTTGACACCTTCCCTGAAAATTTGAGCGAAATCCGTCGGAAAATTTTTGAGAAATTGACGTTTTAGTGACGTCATGTTCGCCATTTTCGGCTCAAAAACGGCAAAAGTTCAAACGCCGCTAACATCTTCATTTTTAAAGGAATCAAGACGTAACAAAAAAGGATATACGTAATTTTACTTTGTTTATCAAATGGCTATCTCGGTTTTTTGAAAATTTTGGATTTTGGCCTAAAGTTTTTCAAAAAACTGATTTTTTTGGGAAAATCATTATAAAATCCAAAATTTGGAGTCTATCGAAAAAACCGGAATATATGTCAGAGAAGTGGTCTATGTGCACCTACATACCAAATTTTAGAAGAATCGGTTCAAAAATGTGGGAGTTATTCAAAATTTTATGACGTCACGACACACAAAATTTTTGAAAAATGACTTTTTTGGAAGTTCTAGACCTCGTACGGAAACAAAAATAGCACCATTCGATTCGCCGTGAAAAACTGCATCAGATAGACACCTTTTTAGGCCTTAACAACCAACTTCAAAATTTGACCTCACTTGACCTGACCTTGACCTGACCTCGACCTGAAATTCATCCAGAGGTGGTCCATATCACTTATTGAGTGTGCCTATTGAATTCTATGAGTAAAATGACCCATAAAACATGTGTCGCACATGCCCTTTTCTATATTTTGTTTTTTGGTGACCTGACCTGACCTGACCTGACCTTGACCTTGACCTCTGAATGATATTGTATGCAACTAATATTGTCTTGGTAGCCTAAGAACACGTTTTGGGCGATCAGTCTCAGTCCATGACTCCATTCTTCGGCAACTACGGTGCAAGGCCGATACTGTAGAAACTTGCAATTTGTACCCTTGACCTGACCTTGACCTTGACCTCAAACTTTAAATTAAGTACATGTATTTAGTAGTTCGTGATGAGAGCTTTCGATTGGCGTTTGAATTTTCCAAATCGGACCATTAGTTCGGGAGATAACAGGGGGGGGGGGGGGGTAAAATTTACCCCCCCCCCCAGCCCCGCGCGTTCGGCTGGAGACCCCAGCCCCGCGCGGGTTAAGGCATCATTAGCATTTTCACTATATGTCCTGAAATCATAACGCTGCAAACGGTTGTATTGAAAAAGTCATGTGTGTCAATAAAAAAGTCACACTCTGCAAATCTACTTAACTCGGTTCATGATATATGTTTTTTTATGAGCTAATTCATTTTAGGACTACATTATTATTGCTTTCTTTACTTTTTAGTAAGCATAGGTCATTCACCCAAAAAGAAAAGTAATAAAGAAGTAATATTGCCAATTTAGGTATCGTAATTTTGGCATATTTAGTATAATCTAACGGTATGTTTGGTATCCGGCACATTTTGTGCATTCAATACATTCAAAATTCACATTTAGTACATTCAGAACATTCTCACCAGTAGCATTGGTCAGTCCCGTCCAGAAGGGCAGATTGCCAGAGAGGCCCAGCAGGATACTATTGGTTGCCAGGTCGTGTATAGATGGCAGCACGGCTGCTGCGTCCTCCTCTTGACACATAGCTTGTGCTGTGGGTTGATCCGCCGGCCCTGGAAGACTCCTATAACAGAGTGCGTTGACGCCTGTCCAGCCATCGGGACAATCATAGGTTTGTGCCGCAGCACAGAGGGTAAACAGTAGGATAGGTGAAAGGCGAAGTGTCATGGTGATACGGAGTGCTGAGGCGGGGAGCTTTGGAGGAAGCTTAGGCGAGAAAATTGAGGAAAGGAATCGAGGCGGGATAGTTAGGCGGGGAATTGATCCGTAGCTGTATGGGAAGTGCTAAATCGGGGTTCTGAGGAAAGTAACAAAGCGAGAAACTTAGGCAGGGACTGACTTGGAGCTAGGACGACGAACTGAAGCGAGGCGTTGACTCGGGTAGCCGTATCGGACTGAGACGGACTGGGGAGACGCCAGCTGTTGTGTGAACCGTGTGATAAACATGGGAACAATCCAGATGACGATGTTAGATAGAGTGTATCTTTTCCGCGTAGTGTCGCCGTCAAGGTGTAGGAATCCAAATAGTGCAGGTCATGGGTTGATGCGAAATTACATGTATGTATATTGTAAATCGATATGTATCGATAAAACGAGCAGATGTTATGATTGTGCAAAAATGTCATTAGTGGGGTGTTGAGTTTATTTTTGTTTTATGGTTGTGTGCAATTTGGTCTTTTGCTGACAGCATTGCTGAAACGCGATAGTTGTGTTGTTAGAATGTAGGGAGATGATGTAAAATTGTTAAAACTTCAGCCATAGTAAACTGATCATGTCGTATGTTGATGTTGACTTTTCATCCACTAGCTTTGCTTTTCAATCTTTTATAGCAGTTATGATATTGGATGCACTTGTACGCATATATTTGCCCGGTTTCAATCCACGATCGGTAGCGCAACAAGCCATCAGCCATTCAAACAATTCAGAGGGACATAAATTAGTCACATAATGCTTTCACTTCGATAGAAAGAAAGCGTAGGTAGTGTAGTTACGAGAAAACAGAGCGTTTGAGCTAAAATCAAACGGCAAGCAGACTCCAACAACTCAACCGCGAAATGGGCATAAAACAATTTTGCGTTTGTCTTCAAATGAAGTTTTATCGCACTTGCAACTAATGATAAATACATACGCATACATGAGAAGCTGTGGTCAAATAGTCCGAGCTACAATGAAACCGACATCAACTAAGCTCCAATGCAGCCTATAGGTCGATGTTTAAAACCCGCGCCCCGTAGGGGGGGCCGAAACGACCCCCCTGTCCTTTTCGGTCGATATCTCCTAAACGGCTGGAGATATCGCCACCAAACTTTCAGGACCCCTCCGGGCATCAATTTTACACATTGTGACTAAAACTTTTTCCAGAGGCTATCATAGGTTGGCCACAAATGACGTCAGAGTGACGTCATGTTCTGTCATTTTCGACCGAAAAAAGACCTTCGCGAGAAGACCTGTCAGGACTACAGCTTTGAAGATACAGAAAAATGATCAAGACATAAAAGGTGTAGAATTGACAGGGCTAAAAAACTGCTATCTCGAATTTTTGAAATTTTTGAGTTTTGACCCCCAAAAATCAAAAAAGCATTTTTTTTTATATATTCGCCAAAAAATCCAAACAGTTTTTTGAGTTTCGAAAAAATCGGAATATATGTGATAGTGCCTACCGTCTTCTATCCACATACCAAATTTCAGATCGATACCTCGTTTTTTGGCCAAGTTATAGCGAAAAAACTGTTCAAAAATGATGACGTCAAATTTTCAAACTCAATTTTTGGCAATTCTAGAACTCGTAGAGCAAAACGAAGACCACCATCAGACTCCCCGTGACGAGCTGCATCGAATCGATACCCATTTTATGCAAAAATATCAACTTTGAAATTTGACCTAATTTGACCTGACCTTGACCTGACCTTCACCAAAACGTGACTTAGGCTGGCCCCAAAGGCTGCCTAACCCACATAATCGCATTTGTCATGTAAAATGGACCATAAAGCATGCATCACACGACACATTCATATTGTGACCCCCGGTGACCTGACCTCGCTGTGACCTGACCTGGTATCAGTGACCTCAGATAGCAAAGTATGTGTTTGACGAACAATGTACCATCGATGGTTTTCAATAAATTACCAATTTACTCGCTTTCACAGCACATTTCTTGAATTGCCTGTGAACGGTGAAAATCTGACCTTTGACCTGACCTGTGACGTCATCGGTTTGACCTAGGTCAATGAAATTTGGTCACAATGTAGTTCCCGGGTGGGGCTATCGAACGCCGTTTGAATTTTGAAAATCGTCCGGTAACTTTCCGAGATCTTAGGGGGGGCCGAAACGCCCCCCCCCCCCCTACGGGTGGTAGGGTCCGCCGGTAGCCCTACGGGGCGCGGGTTAATTGAGAGGTCATTTGAGTGAAAGTTACGGCTATGAATTTAGAAAGCGTGCTTAGACGGGCTGAACATAATTGCATCTGTAAGGCTCACCAGCTCTCTTGAAACAGTTGTGTTTTTATTGCAAAGCAGACTGGCAGATCCAGAACAGCATCGAAGCAGTCAACAACATTCACAAGTCGTCTCACGCCGAGAAAGGCATTGCTGGCATGGACTCATTCAAACCGACATCGCGAGATAGTGAGAAAATACAAAACAGCATGGTGTGTCAAAAGTGGAAATAGCCGGTGCGCCGTCTGGCAACCCGGCAGCCCGCCGCCATAGGGAAATTCATGCTTTTTGTCGCTTTTTCGCTCCTTATGAGTCACTTGATCTAATTAGAGCTTAACTAGGAACGAGGCGGGTCACTTGGACGTATTCGGGAGCCGAATACGGTGTTTTGGAGCCAATACCTAGGAAACCCTACCCGCCCAATGCGAGTTTTTAAGAGTCTGCATGCCCAAATTAACGTTGAGCGCGGCCGTTTTCGGTCTGTTTTCCGCGACCTTGTGGCGAAATCGCCTTATTTATTCAACCAGGGTGGGCTAATTCGCTTAACTAGGAATGAGGCGTTGAAGAGAATTATTCAAGGAATAGAGCTGTGCAAAAATATTTTTTGTATTGTTAAAACTGTATCCGCCCTCGAACGATAAATATTGTTGACCCATCAGAATCACATCCCCTTGAATGCGTTTGGACTTGGCTGGATCTAATATTAGCGAGTATCTGCTAATGCAGTCTCTTGAATTACACAGTACGCATACAAGCATACATACTTCCTGCCCTTGGTTATTCCTCACTTGAATGAAAATTTTGCTAAAATAACTATTCCAAGCAGTTAACAGGTTTTAGTGCAGTGCCAAGTCGGAACCGTTCAGCGCCGCCAGGCTCCCAGGCGCGCCTGGGCGGCGCGTAACGGCCGCCGCCGGCCGCCGCGCCGCCGCTGTGGCAGGGTGTTTGACTTCATGTCCCTGTTGCTAGAAAAGTTGTGGACCGATTTACTTGATTCTTGCATGGAAAGATCCGCCATTCAATTCTTAGCTGATAACAAAATTTGACGTCAATTGCACGATCCGCTGCCCATATTGTGGTACTGCCATCTATTGACAAGGCTGGCGAACTAAAGCCGGGCGGCTATTTCCACTTTTGACACACCATGGGCACGTCTAAATCTCCGGCTATTATATACCACAATCGAACAGATTTCTGAACTAAACATTTGAGAAACACACAAAAAAGTGTCATGGGTGTCATGTAGAAAATGTGTATAAATCTGAGCATACAGAGTCAGAAACTGAAATGCACGTGACATTTAAATGGAGTAGCTGGAGCACTGCACGCACAGCGAAGCTATTATGGAAGAATACTTTGAGTTCACCCAACACTACATTATGCACAAATCCACGGTTAAGAATTATTATATGGTGTTCAGTAGTTACTCAAACAATATTATTTTACTTTGGAAGATGAGTTATCTAGTTTGAATTAGATGACTGACCACAGGTACCTATACCGATTCCTAATTCCACTCTTATTAGCGGGAAAATAGCGAAGTCGAACCGGACAACACTTTCAAACTGAAGCATTTCACTCGCATGGTTATTATCAAGCAGGTAAACACCTCACACAGTTGACCACAACTGACGTCAACTAATCCAGTGACGTAATAATCGCATCACAACAGTGCGCTACGATTCGAATTCCGCCCACATTCAATTGTCTTTCCTGACATCTTCCTTTCTGATGTCATCTGCGTCACAAAGCACTGCTCAAATACACCCGGCAGTGACTGAATCTGTCTCCGCTTCGTTTTAGTGACGTCATTTTTACGTCACGTTGAAGGATGTCAGTGAACGCTGTGATCGGACCAGGCCTGTGGTGTGTAGTTGGATTGACCTTGGCGCCTCCTTTCCTCCATCGCTCTCAGGCTGTCTGAAAAGCACAAATGGCAACGACTTCAGCACAAGACTATGAAATAGAAAGAGATGATAACTGTATAGAAACAGTTATTGCGGATTTCGAGGTGGCACGAAAGGAGAGTGGCTAAATCGAGAAAAAAATCAAAGAAAAACAGCAATAATACAAAGTAGAATGAGAATAGACATCCTAAAACATTGTCATCTGGCAAACCGATGAAAGAAATACTTTAGAGCGCAACCGCTACTGATGCCCGTGCGAGTATGCGAGTATAGTGCTGCAAAGAACAATACATATTTTATCAAGTTTTTTTAGACACATTTCTCCATGTTATGCATTTGCAGTGATCAAAACACATGTACACTGCACTTTGACTCCGTTCTTGCTCATAGGTTTGCCAAACTAGCATTCAATTTTCCTCAGCGCGATCAGTTCACAAGGCAATGAGAAGGGGAATAAATTTAATGTAATGGATGGTGTTTTTTTGCCATGATTACTGTAAATAAAATGGAAAGAAATTAATCATCAACATGGCACAAATGTATTATTTTAGAAATTGAAAAGACCGAAATACAGAATACAGAATGATCCGAAATACATAATTATGTACTCCGGTCTTTTCAATTGCTAAAACGGAATAAATTCACTCCGTTTTCCCCAAAACTCACCGATGGGTGACTCGAACAGCGTCGCTGTCGGCGGCGGCTGCCTCCGCTGCTGCTGGGCCGACCAGTCCCAGATGTCCACGGTCTCAATGTTAGAGACTGTACCGAGGTCCGGCTCGGCAGCTGCGTCAGAGACTGTACCGCCCGGAGGCGGATTCACGTTTTCAGGAAACGAGAGCGCTGCCGAGGGTAGCTCTGCGGGAGGGGAGGGGGGAGCGTCATGACTCAACAGGTTAAGTGCGGGAGTAATCGCCGTGCGTCTTCTTCTTTCAATTGATTATATTAGTTCTGTATATCTCACGGGCTACCTACGTAGAGACGGGATAAAATGACTCCGTTTTTACAGGAGTTGGTACTAACTTGGAAAAATTTCAATACGATAAATTTTTTCAATGAACAGCTAAAGCGAATTAACAAATAACAATAAACTATAGATCGAGTGGGATGAGCTTGCCTCAAATCGTTTTAACTGTGGTTCGGGGTATAAAATAGGTATGGCAATAAGACACCATATATCCTCTGACTGCTAAGCCTGATATTCTTGACCTTAAGATCTAGTCCTAACAGAATACCACCTATCCGCTAATCACTGTCCAAAAGCGGGTTTGCGGACGTGAAATTCCGCAGCTCTACGTCCTTGACCCTGACCTGTGTTGGCAGTGTGCCAGCCCTGCGGCGCTCTGGGAGAGTAGACGCCATCTGTCGGGAACCGCGCCGGTTGGTAGGGCTGCCACAGGTCCTCTAGTCGCACCGAAGGTAGCGTAGTATTTATACTGAAAATGTAAGTGTAAATCATATTTCAATATGCACATCATCAAACAAGAAACGTACTAAGGAGGAAAAAAGAAACACATGCATTAGGTCGTGGCATACTTACCTACACATGGTGAATGACATAGGTATGCCGCAGGCTAACAAAAGTCTAGGCTCTAGTTATCCCGCGCCCTGCTGGGGGGGGGGGGGTGTTTGAACACCCCCCCTTGTGGTTTTTCGCGAATATCTCAAAAACAGCGGCGCGGAGCGCCGCCGTTTTTGGTACACCTTATCATACATCAATTCTACACATGTTGTGAAAATTTCAGACCAAGGTCATTCAAGGTCAGGTCACCAGGTCACTTGAAGTGACCTCACCTCATAAAAAGTTTCAATGTCTGTCATAGCTACACCGAGTGACCGATCGCTTTGAAACTTTCAGAGATTGCTTAGAGCAATAGCATGTACAAAATGTATATCTCAGAATTTTGATATCGATGACCTAAGGTCAGGTCAATTTTGCGACCTCCCCATTATAAGTCAATGGGAGAAAATTGAAATGCGCCTCTTTTGGACGAAAGACATTATAAACACTCCCAAACACCACATTACAAGTGGTTTAGACACACTGAACATGAAAATGGTGTCCGTGACCCTTATTTATGCCCTGAGGTCATCTTAGGTCACGAATGGTATCTAACAGTTTTTCGCAAATAACTTTTGATAGAGGCATGCTAGAGCGATGAAAACGCCTTTGATGTGTTCAGCTCGACGATACGGATCGACTGATATGCAACATGACCCTTTCCGGTCAGGTCATGACCTTGACCTGAGGTCAAATTTTCAAGTTGACCTTTCAAGGTCAAGTTATAGTTCATTCGATGCGTCTTGACGAGAGGAACACGATGCTGGTAAAAGTAAGCTCGTACAAGGCTTGGGTCAAAAGTTATTGCAGAAAAACTGTTTCCGAAAAAAATCGGCTATTTTTGCAGTTTTTGCCCCCTGCAGGCAAAACCGTTGACGGTAGGTCAAATCTGAGAGAATTACTCAGAAAGGGCGTTAATAGGGCTATCGAATGCGCTTTTCCGCAGCGCTGTAGCTCTATTGGTTCCCGAGTTATGCCTTGGCTTCTTCGAAATTTTCGACATTCGACCTGGAAATCGGCGAAATTTTGCCTTCAATGACCTATGGTGACCTGACCTTTGACCTGACCCAAAAATTGACTGAAGTGATTTCGTCATTATTTTTGACGCTCTTTCGAACGCCGCCTTCTGCGTATCGCTACGTGGCCCAGGAGCCGAGTTACAAGGGGGGGTGTTCAAACACCCCCCCAGCAGGGCGTGGAAATCCAGGACCCCCAGCCGGGCGCGGGTTATAAAATGGTAAATATTGTGATTTTTTTTGAAGAGCGGAAAAAAAATTCTGGTGCTGCTCACATGCCAACTGTTGGTTTTGATTTCACGGGCTTTTTCCTTCGCATCGTCAGCTTTGAAGTTTAGAAGCTTGAATGTTATAATTTCATACTGGACAAGGTCATGTCTCTTCAGAAATATAACACTGATGAAAAATGATCCGAGATCAAAGCTTGCACACAAAGTCAAACCTTGCAAAGATGAACGGAGGCTGCTAACTAGTAGATGTAACCTAGAAGCCTCTCTCTCTCTCTCTCTCCCTTCCCTATCTCTCTTTCTCTCTCTCCCTTTCCTCCCTCCTTCCTCCCCTACTTACCCCGAGTCAGTCTCTTCCACCTTCTCTCTTCCTTCCGGCCACATGTGCTTCAACGTCTCATCCTCTCCAGACGCCGCCTCGTGTCTCGCCTCTCCCCACGTGCTGCGCCACGGGTCGGTTGCCACGTGTTCGGACTGCACGTGGCGCGGTTTGGGCTGAGGTAGCTGAGTGGTGGGTCTCTCTCCGGGACGGGAAGGTTCTGGGTGGAACTCATCTACCACCCATCGTTCTGATCGCTTCTTACGGCGAGCGAAAATCTGACCGCCTGTGGAGAGAGAGAGAGAGAGAGAGAGAGAGAGAGAGAGAGAGAGAGAGAGAGAGAGAGAGAGAGAGAGAGAGAGAGAGGAGAGAGAGAGAGAGAGAGAGGGAGAGAGAGATACAATAATCTTACATCTCCCCATTTCCACTGAAATACGGCAAAGTCAATAATCTTACTACTACTAAGATACAATAATCTTACATCTCCCCAGTTCAACTGAAATACGGCAAAGTCATTAGTTGCGATCAGCCTATTCCTCACTGACTAGCCGCGCTTCTGTCCTTAGTTACCTACAATACACAGATACTGCTACAGATACTAAGATACATTTATCTCCCCAAGGATGTACCGAGAAACCATCAGCTGCGATCAAAAGTATTCGGTGTACGAAAAAAAATGAGTAGTGTAATTAACATTACGGTTCTGCGGTTCGAATGCACGCATTTACGCTTTGTTCTCGGACTGGCGGTAATTAGAGAAATGTGAGACAAAACCACGGACTTGATTAGGTATTTCCTAGGTGAGGCGATTAAATGTCAGAGTGCTAATGGCATATCCTGGAATATTGCAGGAGCTAGAAGCAAAGAAGCCAGACGCAGGCAGTCCTTAAGAATGTAATCATGGATCAATGCATACATAATGGATGCAAATTGTCTTTTTTTTAATCTCCAATCACTCGACTATCACAAAATGCTTTTTTTCACATTACCAGCAATTCTTACTTATCTCTCACCAATTACTGACATTTACCTCTTTGCTCTCACTATTTAATATTGGCCACCTCGAATCACTCATTCCCATAACTCACCACTCTCACCATTCCTTGTTTTCTTTCTCATCCATTTCTCACCCATTTCTCACCCATTGCTTATCCTACCCTTTTCCTTCGCCAGTCGATCGCACTCCCAGTACTTATCCTAAAATACCGCCCACTTTTTTCCCCTATTCTTCCTTATCAATCATCACAAAACTTACTCACATTTCACCAATTGATCTTACTAACCTTTTCCCCTGGCCGAGTGAAGATCACTGATCAGTTCTGCGCACAGCTCTGGCGAGAGACTCTGTCAACAAATAATGAATGGTAGTCACTGTTATCATCTGGGGGACTTTGCCAACAAACAATAACGGTAGTTACTGGTATCATCTAAGAGAATCTGCCAATATATCATAGACCATAGTCACTATTATCACGTAAAAGACTTTGTCAACAAGCAATCGCCAATAATCCAGCCGTATAAAGAAATTGTTCTAAAGTTATATAACTTTCCAATAACTCGACCACCACCATATTCGTTACATGGAAGAATCAAATCCAAGAACAATTGAACCAGGCCCATGTCACTCCACTTTTGATGACATCATAAGGGGGCCTTAGGACAATAATGGCGCGGTGCGCCACAATCGCTTCCAAGCTACTTGCCAGCAGCCGCCATTTTTGAAAATATAATTTTGAAATAAAGTTACAAATAATAAAAATATTTTAATAAAGATATTTATGAAATAAATACTATATTTAAAAACTTAAAGAAAAATTATTTATTCATTGTAAAAATATAAGCTCGATGAGATTTTACGTTGCTTTCCTGCAACTGCAGAGGGTTTTTAAATCGTCCATATCTTCAAAACTGGCCATTTCTTAGCATATTACCGCTCTTTTTTATCGCTAGAAAATTAGTTGGGCTTTTTATTGACAGCAACGGTTGAGCATTAAGTGGAAGGTGGCATCAATAATCTTCAAATTAAGTTAGTCATTTTAACGTTGTAAAGGAATAGAGTACCCTTTGCGAGCATCAGGGGCGACGTCACTCAGGAACTGTCTCTGATTGGTCGACGGGGGAGTGACTGTACCTTCTATAGATGGCCTTGAATTGAACATTGTATCGAGATGCTAGTCGCTAAGCATATGTGCTTAGCATATGTCACTCAGTCCAAAGATAAACGGCGAAATTTAAGAACAAAATCGGTAAAGGCGGTAGTCACTACATAGTCAAACCCACCACTAAAAACTCCGAATCAACCAACATGGATTCGACGACAGACACTGGTCAGTCGCGCTTATATAGAGGATAGAAATCGAAGTCAGCGGCTGTCAGCTGTAGTTCCAGACGGGCGGACTGTGCCGCAAGACACGCGTGTCTCCCGGTACAGTATACATTGTCAGGCGCAGCTGCTCAACGCTGGTATACCGCACCAGATCCGTTTACAAATGTCACACAACATAGGTATTCCAATGTTTGTTGGCCGTGTGACAATTTGTAAATGAAGCAAGAACAGGTGCAAAAGGTAGCATGTTTGTGCCAATAGCTTCAAAAAGTACGGTCAAAACGTAGACAACATGTTCTGTTACTTTGTTTTCAAAACCACAGTAAAAGTATCAGCAACGCAAGCAGAAAAGGTGGCTTATGAATGAAGAAAGGTAGCTAGACTGTGCCGCAATGCGTTCGTGTGTTCCGGTGCAGCATACACTGCCAGGCGGACGCTGCGCCGCCTATATGATCCGTGGAAGAGATTTTGTAAGAACACTATCTTATTAACCATTTTTCATCAACTTCTCAACGATTTTCAACGATTTTTCAAGCAATCCTCATAGTAATATCCGGGACCATAGGCGGCGGAACGATTTGAGACAAGGGGGGGCACCATGGCTCAAGGAGCCAAACCTAGGGTACCCCCAAATCCTGTTTTCTCATCGGATTTAGGCCACTTATTTTTCGTCACAGCCCTGACACGATGATTTTTTTTTTTTTTACTAAACGAAAATTGCAGTTCACCCCGTATGCAGGGGTGTACCTAATTTTATATCTCTTTGTGGGGGCATATGCACCCACAATCCTGAATTATGCCCCCACAATGATGAAAAAGCACCCACAAGTCTTTTACAAGGCTGCAAGCGTCCTTTCGAGAGCACGGTGCCCTTCGCATGCTCTAACGGCGTCCTCCTAACCGTCTCGCGTTCATGTACCGGGGTTACATGAGCAAGTAAATGCGTATCAGGAACGGATTTTCCTATTCGCTCACCATTGTAGTCCGTTTGTAATGCGTATTAACTCTGCTCATGTAACCCCGAGCATGGATAGCGTTTTTAATCATCACTCGGCGCCCTTCTGGGAGAATGGCGCACTTTTGACAGCACCGCGCCATTCTCATGGTCTAACGGCGCCCTCCTGACCGTCTCGCGTCCTTAGGTCTCTGTTCACCGTGCATCCCTCGACTATTCGGCGCCCTTCTGGCCTCTCAGCGCCCCTGAACCACATATAGCGTTTTCAATCACTCGGCACCCTTTTACGAGAATGGCGCCCTTTTCATGATCTCAAGGCGCCCTCGTAACCATCTGGCGCCCCCACGTCCCCACCAACGTAGCACTACTGACTGTGCGGCGCCCTTCTGGCCTCTTAGCGCCCCTAGACCACATAGCGTTTTCAATCACTCGGCGCCCTCCTAAGAGAATGGCGCCCTTTTCATCGTCTCACGGCGCCCTCGTAAGTCGTAACCGTCTGGCGCCTCCACATTTGGTGCCCCTCCTACTGGATGGCGCCTCTCTACATATTTTTTACGTCCTTCCGGTCAGTTTCCACTTTTAAGCGTGTATTTGCTTAGTCAGACACGTCACTTGAAGCGCCATTCGGCTAGCAATGTTATCAAATTCGGTGTTAATTTAGGCTCCCACATAAAGAATATCTATCGCGCCCCAAAACGGCCTGGCGCCGGGCGCCCCTACAGCTGGGCACCCACAATCATTTTAGGAAAATTACACCCCTGCCCGTATGTGTGGTTAACTTTAAGCTGATCCTCAAGTACCTATGTGTTTGTCTCTTCCTTATTGTCGTTTGATAAATTCCATTTATCCTACATGTATAATTCCCAAGAAGCCATCGCAGTACTAATCAGTGGCGAATCCCAGGGTGGAGGTCACATGTGTCATGACTTAGGGCCTGGGGTCACCACATGCCTGCCAGGAGCACCACAGGCCTGACAGCCGACAGGGGCACCACAGGCCCGCCAGGGGTGCCAAAGGCCTAGCAGGGGCACCACGGGCCTGTCAGTGGCACCACAGGCCTGTCAGGAGCACCATCGGCCTAGCAAAAGCACTACAGGTCTTCCAGGGGCACCACAGACCTGCCAGGGGCACCAGAGGCCTGTCAGGGACACTATCGGCTTCGCAGGGGAACCACCGGCTTCTCAAGGGCACCATGGGCCTGTCAAGGGCACCACAAGCCTGTCGTTGGCAATTTAGGATTGTCAGAGGCACCACAAACCTGTCAAGGGCACCTACGTTCTAACAGGGGCACCACAAACCTGCCAAGGCCCAGGGACACCACATGCCTAGCAAGGACACCACAGGCCTGTCAGGGGCACCACGGGCCTGTCAGGGCCCATGGGCACCTAAGTCATGTCAGGGCCCACCGTAGGCTTGTCAGGGGGCAGGGTAGGTAGGTACCACAGTCTTTCCAGGGGCACCAGCGGCTTAGCAGGGGCACCAGTCATCACATGACTAACCAAAAATAAAGCAAAAAAAAAACTGAAAATAGGGCACCACCAAAATTAAGTGGGCGAAATCCGTTGAGGTTTTAATTTTGGGCATAGGTACTAGGTAGGGGCACCACTTCGATTCATGAACCTCCCCTTTCCCGAATTTCCCGAGTTTTCCCGAATCCGCCCCTGGTACTAATACATCAAATTTAAGGGGGGGCACCTTGCTATTGGTGCCCCCCTTGCAGAATCCAAGGGGGGGCACGGTGCCCCGGTGCCCCCCCCGTTCCGCCGCCTATGTCCGGGACACTATATTGGATAGATTAAAATAGGAAACTTGTATGAGCCAAACTTCTAACGCTCATTTTCTTTGTTATTCAATTCCAACGATGTTTTTTTAACTCCCAATGTTAGACACCGATTGCTTTGCAGACTAAAAAGGGAAATATTATTATGAAACATTAAAAAACACTCATTGGGATCAATGAGTGTTTCACTCATTCATACAAATCATACAATTGTTACGTCAGGCGTGCATATCAACCACACAAAATTACAATACATTTATACAACGATAGCAATACATTTGTACGATCTTACCTCAGTGTTTATTACGACTCCTTTGTCCCGAAGCGATTCAAGGTCAAGTAGTTGACCTTGAGGATTCATGATCAGCTCGAACAGTGGCTTCGTTTGCTGTCAAGCAGAGGTGACGGTTACGATAATTATACTCTGTTCCGTTTTAAGCTTACGGCCGTGGTGCCCTGCTGAAAGCAGTGCGTGATTTCTGTATAGACAGCTCTTACATGCAGGCTGCCATACTGGAGAGACCACTGAACTCTAATATATACTGGAAGGAGCATTGGTGACTTGTTTTTGTCTATCGATTTCCGCCATGTTGTGTATACCAGAAATATAAATTGCATGTACGGTAGCAGAGGTGCAGTTTAGTGAGAGGTATACTACTCAAAAGTGCTGCTGCTTCATGCTTGCAGTTTGATTGCAGTGATCAACTTTTCAAGACTTTGGTATACACAACATGGCGGAAATCGTTAGACATTCTGGCCCATATACGGCCAAGGCGAGTGCCTCTCCCTGGGAGAGACCTGTAATACGGACGGAATCGGGACGTCGGCTATTTCTGCTTTATGCCGTCACGGGCTACAATGATTTGCCGCCGAGTTTCCGCAACATGGGAACGTGATAGTTTCAGCTAAAACTCCGCAAACATCTTCTGGCAAAACAGTAAAACGAGTAGCGCGATGTACAAATGTGATGTGAAATTGAAAATCTGATCTGAGAAATTGAAAAAATGATTGAAAATCCCGCACGCACACACAGAAAAATAAGTATTTTTCAATCCACCCGATGACGTCATCAGGGTACTTACCACCGTCAGCGTCGGCCCGCGGTAATCCTCAGATGTTAGCGGAGCTCCACCTGTAAATAGAGTCAATGACGTCACAGAGGAATCGCGTATACTGCTATACAGCATTCACACTGCACTGCAACGAACTGTAATGTGACGTCACAATCGCAATGGCATGTAAAGGGCAATTACATACAGAGTTACACAAAGTGAAACGAAATGTGCCAGCTTAATCCCAGTTGGTGGTTGTTTGAAATACAGACGGGGATGAAACAATACTTGAAAAGACATCAAAAGGAAGCAATGACAGTACCTACTTATAAAACGGGAGGGAAACACTTCACTACCAGTAAGAAAAGCGGGGAAAAGACGCCCATGTGGCTGAGACACAAAATAGCTTTTCGTTTCTTGGATGAGGGCAAGCAAATTAATAACGTTTAAAACTTGTACCAAATCAACGACGTTGAACCTGATATTACTAAAGACTCATATGACATCACAGGCATTAGATTTGACGTCACAAACGTCTGATTTGTTATCATCCACCATGGGGTTCGCAAATTAAAAATCATTCTCTGACGTCCAGCATTAGAACGCGCTTTAGTAATTCACTTTAATTAAACTTTGATTTGATATTAATATTCAAAGTTCGGAGAGAACTGCAGCTAAGATCTCCCACAAGCAAAACTGTCCTCAGAAAAACTCTAATCTATCCCGCAAACCTTTATTCGAAATTTAGTTGCCACTATTGAAGATATAATGAAGTTATCACATAATTAATCCAATATATGACGCTATGAACAAATATATAATCCACGTCATGGCTACCTACATAGGAACACAGGTAGTCCAATCTTTGCTCTCCTATCCAAATAACAACATTGGCATCAGCGCTAAAGAGCCATGCACACCAAAGAAAAATCATTACATCGGTTACCCAACATTGCATACTACCCAACGTTGCATTCTACATAGGCATTATTCCGCTTAAAGGTAGACTGCCACCTTTTTTTCCATAAAACGGTTTTCACTAGAGCTGAGCCACCTATGTCCCAGACTGAAGTCGGTTTTCCGAAATTCGAACCCGTTTGCGAGAAATCGGAGACCAAAGTTCAGTTTGATGCCATTTTTTTAGTCCAAGAAAACCGACATCTCTACTGTTTATCGATAACTTTGAAACACTAATTTTCTTATCTTTTGGTAAATATATGTCAAAACTTTGATTGTTTCGAGATCAGAGAAGAATTTTGGAGTGTCAAAATAAAAGTTAAACTTATATATTCAGTAGTTCATTTTTTCCAAAAAAGTGTGGGAAATGGGGTTTATCATGGGCCAGACCCATTCCAAATGAGCCATGATTTTTTAAAAATGTTTTAACGAACTTAAATGCAAAATAAATTAAACATGGCCAATTTCTTATGAAATCATATATTAGTAAATCATAAAATACCTTACTTTTTCAAATAAAATGTAATAATCTTATGACCTTGAAGTCTAGTGATGTGTAAACATTGTCGCTAGACATTAACCGATTGATAATTGTATGATAATCGACATTTTTTTTCGCGATTCACGTGATGATACTTTGTCAGGTGAATTCTAAAATTTTGTTTTGTCCAGGGAATAAATCATAGGCCGATCTGAGAAAACTTTTTGAAGGTGGCAGTCTTCCTTTAACCTGCGCGGGGCTGGGGGGGGGGGGGTAAATTTTACCCCCCCTCACGAATTTTTGCGATATCTCAAAAACGGCGGCGCGCAGCGCCGCCAAACTTTCAGTACCTTTTCTTACATCAATTTGACACGTTTCCTGAAAATTTGAGCGAAATCCGTCGGAAAATTTTTGAGAAATTGACGTTTTAGTGACGTCATGTTCGCCATTTTCGCCTCAAAAACGGCAAAAGTTCAAACGCCGCTAACATCTTCATTTTTAAAGGAATCAAGACGTAACAAAAAAGGTTATACGTAATTTTACTTTGTCTATCAAATGGCTATCTCGGTTTTTTGAAAATTTTGGATTTTGGCCTAAATTTTTTCAAAAAACTGACTTTTTTGGGAAAATCATTATAAAATCCAAAACTTTGTGTCTATCGAAAAAAACCGGAATATATGTCAGAGCAGTGGTCTATGTGCACCTACATACCAAATTTTAGAAGAATCGGTTCAAAAATGTGGGAGTTATTCAAAGTTTTATGACGTCACGACACACAAAATTTTTGAAAAATGACTTTTTTGGAAGTTCTAGACCTCGTACGGAAATAAAAATAGCACCATTCGATTCGCCGTGAAAAACTGCATCAGATAGACACCTTTTTAGGCCTTAACAACCAACTTCAAAATTGACCTCACTTGACCTGACCTTGACCTGACCTCGACCTGAAATTCATCCAGAGGTGGTCCATATCACTTATTGAGTGTGCCTATTGAATTCTATGAGTAAAATGACCCATAAAACATGTGTCGCACATGCCCTTTTCTATATTTTGTTTTTTGGTGACCTGACCTGACCTGACCTGACCTTGACCTTGACCTCTGAATGATATTGTATGCAACGAATATTGTCTTGGTAGCCTAAGAACACGTTTTGGGCGATCAGTCTCAGTCCATGACTCCATTCATCGGCAACTACGGTGCAAGGCCGATACTGTAGAAACTTGCAATTTGTACCCTTGACCTGACCTTGACCTTGACCTCAAACTTTAAATTAAGTACATGTTTTTAGTAGTTCGTGATGAGAGCTTTCGATTGGCGTTTGAATTTTCCAAATCGGACCATTAGTTCGGGAGATAACAGGGGGGGGGGGTAAAATTTACCCCCCCCCCAGCCCCGCGCGTTCGGCTGGAGACCCCAGCCCCGCGCAGGTTAACATCATGTATACCCCGGTTGAGATAATTGACCCCAGGCAGTCTTTGCTAAAATGTTGGATAACTCAGGTTGTTTTCCGATAGAAAAGACAGGTCTAACGAATAGTGTTTCTGTCTACTGACCAAATCGTCGGTTACCCAGCGCAGTAATCGATGTAAGCCTGCCTTTACGTCAGAAGAGAAGATGCAGAGAAGATGCACGTGCGTGCAACGGTGGTGCAACGTTACGCCGACATGCGTAATTTTTGACGCAATGCTCTGTTCATGCCATGCTCTTACAGAAATCAAACTTCGGAAAAAATAATACGCGGCTGACCAATGTCTACGAACAAGACTATCCTATCACATAAAAGAAGCGAAGAATAGCAGGTAAAAAAGTACGACACAAGCAGACATAAACGCATAGGGACGGACGGATGAAAATTACGAGCAAAAGACGATAACGAGACATGAGATAAAACGGTACGGACTACGGGACAATACGGTGCGACACAAACAGCGCAAAGTGTTAACCACACTTTACTTAACTGATGTAGAATCTGGTTCACTCTCATTGGCAACATCTGAAATGGTATATCAGGAAAATTGTTGTTCACTAAGCAATAAAAACATTTTCACTCGCGTCTTACGAAGAAGACAAGGACTGTAGATATATTGGACAGGTATGTAGTAAAGAGCAAGTAGCATACGAATATATTCAAGAAGCAATTACATATAAATAAGCGGACCGTTTCTTCTTGAATATATTCGTATGCTACTTGCTCTTTACTACAAGACAAGGACTATTGACAATTGGTTGAATGGAATGTAGGTATGTATGTATATAAAATTGGTCTTTTGCGGGATTGCAACCAAACATTCCACTAAGAACACACTTCTTCAACCACACAACACCGTCCTAAAAAAGTTCCGCCCTCAGCGGATTCGAACCGGCCTCTCCGCTCACCTTGATGAATCCAGCGTGGGCTGCGCTTCTTTCGTCGTTCGTACATCGTTTGACCTCGCGAGTGGCGATTTGTGGCATCAGAGAGAGACGCGGCTATTTTTCGCGCCATTTTGACTTGATCCTCCCACGTGGGATGGTCGCGGGTAGAAAAGAAGGCAGAGTCGACAAACAGCGCCTCTGAGGGGAAGAACGGGGTAGAGGGGGTGTTTTAAGGGAGTAATAGTAGACACACTGAGAAAAAAATGACTCTAGGGAGACCAAAAATGACTCGGTTCCTTTTTTGTACCCGCGCCTAGAGTCAAATTACTTCTCATTTGATACTGGAATGTAGAGTAAATTTGCACTGTATAAGAAGTCTTAAAACACCAGAGGGTGTCATGCGACTCTCCCACGAGTCACGCGACACGTTATAATGAATCGGATTTTGACTCTTTGATTCAGTGTGTGTTTTATGACGACACCCATGCTAGTCATTTGACTCCGCCCGCTCAACACCTGCGCCTCGAGTCAAGCGACACTAGGTCGTCGTGTACTATGAAACCGCGTTTGGCACTAACAACGCCCGTATATTGACTCCTGTAGCGGGGTAAAATTGCGATATGATGTAGCAATATCGTGATTTTCCCCGACAGCGAAACTAAATGGACATTGTCAACGTCACAAACTGCGTGGCGGCTGCATCGTTCCACTCTTCTAGTAAAACAAGCTGGTCCTTGTAGGAATATATTAAAGGCACGGTCGCCAGGTTGTCCTGCAGAACCTACCATGCACACAGCCAATTAAACACTTCAAAAACATTCGAAAGTAACCCCGAAAAGGCAGACTCTGGCCTAACCATCGCGCAAACCAGCGCTCTATATCTCACACACGCAATGTCCGAATGCCAGGCATGCCCCTTTGGTCCGAGCCTGCATGAGGAATTACTCACATCTCAACAATGTTCCATCAACCGGCGATTATCGCTACTCAGACGTTATTCTGCAATTGAATACATAAAACTTGCTTCCGTTTCCATGGTGCGCTGCTTTCTTCTCCTCTCTTGAAAATTTCACCGAGTGCAGGGCGCCTCGTCATTTGAATACACATGATGAGCAAACTACAAATAAAAACTGAAGTTTATCGTTAACGCACTATCACTTGAAATAAACAACACTTTAAACAACGTTTAGCGACATAACAAGTGCGTAAATTCAAATAAATTCCTCTCCTAGCTCACACCACACGCACGCACGTGGCCACACCGCCGGCAACTGAAGCGCCAACGGCTTTTCTAACGGTTTTTCTGCAAGGTCGAGCTATTTTATCTTCGTGGCGGACCGGCATGGCCAGCACACAAATGACGTCACACGACAATGCAGCTTGCTGATTGGGCATTGACTCAAACGACTCAAACCACTGGACCTGAGCTGTGGTTCCCACTAGGGTTACGTAGTCAAAGTCAGAGTCGGTTGGAGTCGACAGTTCTGGCTGGAGTCAGAGTCAGAGTCGATTTTGGAAGCCGGAGCTGGAGTCGAAGTCTGAGTCACCGAAAATCCATTGATTTCGCGGTCTTGACTCCTACCACCAGTGACGTCAAAACAATCTCTCTTGTGATTTAGGGTTTAAACTTTAACACATTTCATGACTCTTACTGGAATGTTCCCTACACCCGGTAGTACCTTTGCTGAACACTCTTGAATGTGTCTGACATCGTGGCAAATTGTCAATATCAACAATGATACCCCCGTGTCATTCACACTCACGGTCACTTACTACACAGTATTGATATCAGCACGTGTTTATAATCACGTTAATTAGACATCTGAACGTCTTTTGACGCTATCATGTGGAGTTTTTAACCCCAATGGTGTCATTTCACTCAGTTGAGTGTTTTCGTAATCCGTGACTCGCTTATTAGGTGTAATTTGACCCTCAGTGGTGCCATAATATTCTAGTGTCATTTGAACCCAATGGGGCTCAAATGACACCGGAATATTATGACACTTCTGAGGGTCAATTACACCCAATAAGTCATTTGAACGGAATATTATGACACCACTGAGAACCAAATTACACCTAATAAGGGAGTCACGGATTGCGAAAACGCGCAACTGTGTGAAATGACACCCATAGGATATAAAACTCCTCATGATGGCGTCAAAAACGCTTAGATGTGTCATTTTACACTGACACCGTGCAGAAACTTGGGAGCCAAAATTTTGGGAGTCAAATGACCCTTGGGTATGTGATTCTGACCCAGATCAATTTACACTAAAAACGGTGTATGGACACTGTTTTTCAGAATCGGATTACAACATGGGTGTCAGTTGATTCCCAAATAGTGGATCGTGATTCCCGGGGACTAATTATTTTTATCCGTGTGAAGAATCCACGTTAAGTTCTAACCACCGCATGCCCTCTCTTTTCGTAACGCTTCTATACAACGAAGCATGCATCATTATGCCAACCAGCCTTGCCATGATTGAGTACCTATACCATATTTTAACTCTTCGTCAAAAGTTTTTGAGTGACACTGTAAATACGAATAAAATATAGGGTCATCTGATGGAAGTTAAGTGATTCTTAATGCGACACCGTAAGGAGTCAATCACCTCTGAATATTCATAGAGTCAAAATAAAATGTGACACTAAAAATGGGTTATGACTCCCAAACATGGTGCGACGACTCCGTAGAGAGTCATTTGTATCCGCCAATAGGGTGTCAGTTTAAGGGAGTCAAATGACTCTTCGTTAGATGACACTACATAGAGTCAATTACAGAGTCGAAATGTTTTGTGACACTATAAAAAGGAATCATGACTCCTAAACTTGGTGTCACTGACTCTATATAGAGTGATTTTTTCTCTCCGTGCAGTCATCGTAGTTGATCAGTGATTCTAGTGCTAAGGGGATCATAGGTGAGTAACAGTGGGGTCTGAGTTGAGACCATGATGGGTCATAACTAGTGATGTCAATTACCTACAGGAAATCGGAATACCGATACCAAACCAACTTCGAAGTATGAGGCAAATACCAACTTTTTACCAATTTCTTAGCCTCTTATACATTAGTGAGGGTTCATAATACCAACAAAATACCAACCACATTGGATACCAACTACCAAGTTGGTATCAGTTTGGTATCGGTATACCAAAAAGTTGGTATCCGATTGACATCTCTAGTCATAACTGAGATATACAGGGGTCACGGTGAAGGCCAAACTTGAAGAGTGGTAGTCAGAGTGGTCAAATCGCAATGGGAACAAATGAAGGGGTCACCCTGGGGACACCATGTGGATATAGTGGGAGAAGGGGTGTAGGCATTAGGCTGACTAAGAGTCACCCAAGGGCACACACAACACATTGGTGACAGTGTCACCATTGGCAGTTCTCCTCAGCCCTTTTGGCGATGATCACAGCTTCACGACTTAGGTATCGTCAACGTTATCAGTCACGCATAATGCTGACTGATCAGGTAATTAAATCCCATGGAACATATTTTGAAAATACTATAACTAAGAAAGCATGTCATAACTGAAACTGTTCAGCGGAAACCATCAATAAATGTCATCAGCCTTAGATATACTTTACTAGATAACTATAGTATATCTAGTATATACTATACTAGATATACTATATACTAGTATCATCAGATAATCCTCAGACAGTCTCAGGAAATTCTCAGTATCATTCTCAGCTTCAGATATCCGCACCCCTAACCCTTCGTGCAGTCCGCCTGGACAGCACCAACATTAACCCACGAGCCGCTGGGGGGGGGGGGGCATAAAGTAGCCCCCCCCCCTTACGTTTTGTGAAATATCTCCGAAACCTGATAAGCTACGAAGGTGAAACTTAACATAGCTTCAAATGAATACCTAGGCAATGTTTGAGGAAAGTTTGGTGGTTGTAGCACCTAAGATGACGTCACAGTGACGTCATAGTTTTTGTCGTTTTCCGATATGGACCGTTTCTGATGACGCTGAGCATGAAACTCAACTGTAAATGAACTAGACAGCACCTGCTGTCATCCTAAAACATCTAACTACACTTCCATCTAGTTTCTGACCAATAATCGACCCGTTATATTCGGTCCCATATCTCTGATATATCGTGAGGAATATGAGAGTCGCAAATCTATAATTTCACTTATGACGTCATTGTGACGTCATTTCAAATGGGATCGACACCAAATTAAGACACAACCTCGGCTAGGTATTCAGGAAGATGTGTACAAAGTTTCGCTTCTCTATCTCTTCGCGTTGCGGCGATATCGTCGCAGAAGTAAAGGTGGGGGCATATAGTTACCCCCCCCCCCCCCAGCGGCCGGCGGGTGGCGCGGAGGCCCAGCGGCCGCCGGTTAACAAGGCTTCAGATGAATATACCCAACAGGCGCGACAATGAAAAGATCGTATATCAGCACCAACACACAGCGATCTTGCCAAACAAACCAACCAGTGCCAACAGTGACTTCCTAACTGGATGCCCGCCAGCACTTTCAAACAAGGGTGGTCGGCACAGGGTTGTTTCAAGTTGCCAGAGAGTGCAGAAGTCTCATGTTGCCAGGAGTGGTGAAGTCTCAAGTTGTCTGTGAGTGCAGAAGTCTCAATGCCAGGAAGTGCAGAATAATGCGATTGTTCGGGGTTTGGTGCTGCTTTTAAAATATACATTACTTTATTATCAGCATCAAAATCAGCATCTGGACACTGTTCTTACCAATGACTCGTTAGTCTCACCTTACAAAATCCATCACTCTAACCGCTGCTTTAGACACTTACTTGACTTTCTGGGCTTTCGGAAGTCGTCTCCGGTGACTGGCAGCGGTGGCGGTGGTGGGGTTTTAGGACAGGCATCTCTCCCTCTGACTGGCTCGCCTGTAGGAGAGAGAGAGAGAGAGAGAGAGAGAGAGAGAGAGAGAGAGAGAGAGAGAGAGAGAGAGAGAGAGAGAGAGAGAGAGAGGGAGAGAGAGAGCGAGAGAGAGAAGAGATAGAGGAGGAGAAGAGAGAGAGGAGGGGAGAGAGGGAGAGAGAGAGGGAGAGAGAGAGAGAGAGAGAGAGAGAGAGAGAGAGAGAGAGAGAGAGAGAGAGAGAGAGAGAGAGATAGGAGGAGAGAGAGAGAATGTTTATTCACAAGAGAAAATGTTTCGACATACCTATGAACATTTTTAACTGAACACTTCGCAACAAAACGGCCCTGGTGAAAACAGACTACGCGCAATAGGTACAGGTGTCCAGAAAAACGGATGCTATTATTTTTTTCTCTAATTCCGAAAATAACACCTTACATTTTAAAATGGCACATGCTTGTATTCGTCAAAATATGGCAAATATACAGTAGTGCCACATGGCAATGTAACTCTTTGGTTAGTTGCGGCAGCTCCTCAAAGCGATACCCAATGTGAAGCGACCTTACGGCGGATTAGCTCCAGACCTAGCACAGTCTGCAGGTGACTGATGGTCATGTTGACCATCTCGAGGGCAAGCAGACACTTTCCAACGAGACGCATTACAGTGCTCATGAGTTTTGCCAAATCTTGCACTATTAGCACATGAATTTGGAACAAACTCGGCACGTTGTGTTAAGAATGCGACTTAATTTCCGTAGTATCTTTTTTCTGGACACCCTGTATGTATGTCGCGACTGTAAGGACCCAGTAAATTCTGTTATTTTCCTACAACCTACCTTTTTCTATGTTTCGATATACCGCATTGCACAGATGCTGTACTGCATGTAAAGAGAGAGCCTGCACTGAGCAGCATCGCAGTCAATGTCCCTTTCCAAGAGCCATGAAATAGGCTTGCAATCCGAACCACCCCCTCAATATCCACTTCGATAACCTCAGCTTCAACTGTTTTACATTCCCAACCATGAAATAACCGGAAATCAAACCAAACACAATCAACGTGTTTCACCCGATTCACTTCAACGTATTGAGCGCAGTTCATTGACAATTGCCCTTTCAATACCATTACATGTTATGCGTACTAAGCTACAATGCCCGTGTGATTCTGCAAGTTCTGATTCCCTGGAGACTTTTCAAGGCCTGTGATATGTTCCAGCGCGGAGGTGATTGTAAAGTGGTCGCACGTGTTTTTCAGACGTGGTTGGATCGAACCAGGGTCAGTTACGTTGTGTCGGCCCGATTAACCACAAAGGAATTGGGTAACGGGAAAGTATTGATTGGCTTGACGATTGGCGCTGCAGGCACTAACTGAGGGGATTGCAGGGAATTGGTTTCGTGGCGTGGTGTTAAATAAGAGTGAGAAGACCGTTTGAGATTATTGAGTTTCTTCATCAGACTGCGATCATACGAAATATGTAGCAGCAATAGTTCCATGAAATCTATCTATTGTTTGCGATCTATCGGCTGTTGATGTGACCACACCCGACCATGGGCGCTGCAGTGCCAATGGTTCATAAAGCCAGTCCTTCTTTCATTGGGCCTCGTTTCATAAAGCGAGTCCGTAACTTACGCCGGTTTTGGGCTTGTATTGCAAGCGCATGTGAAGCGATAAATCTATTTCACCTTCTCCCCTCTGTTCTTGCAAGATAAATCTGAATTCAACGATTCAAACTATCGTCATCGCTTCACATGCACTTGCAATACAAGACCAAAAACCGGCGTAAGTTATGATTCGCTTTATGAAACGAGGCCCAATGAAACGAAGGACTGGCTTTATGAACCATTGGCACTGCAGCGCCCATGGTCGGGTGTGGTCACATCAACAGCCGATAGATCGCAACAATAGATAGATTTCATGGAACTATTTCATGCTACATATTTCACGTATGCATCGCAGTCTGATGAAGAAACTCAATAATCTCAAACGGTTCCTTCTCACTCTTTTATTTAACTACCACGCCACGAAACCAATTCCCTGCAATCCCCTCAGTTAGTGCCTGCAGCGCCAATCGTCAAGCCAATCAATACTTTCCCGTTACCCAATTTCCCTTTGTGGTTAATCGAGGCCGACATACACGTAACTGACCCTGTGTTCTATCCAACCGTCTGAAAACACGTGCGACCACTTTACAAATCACCTCCGCGCTGTGAACATATCACAGGCCTTGAAAAGTCTTCCAGGGAATCAGAACTTTGCAGAATCACACGGGCATTGTAGCTTAGTACGCATAACATGTAATGGTAATTGAAAGGGCAATTGTTCAATGAACTGCGCTCAAATACGTTGAAGTGTAATCGGGTGAAACACGTTGATTGTGTTTGGTTTGATTTCCGGTTATTTCATGGTTGGGAATGTAAAACAGTTGAAGCTGAGGTTATCGAAGTGGATATTGAGGGGGTGGTTCGGATTGCAAGCCTATTTCATGGTCTTGGAAAGGGACATTGACTGCGAATGCTGCTCAGTGCAGGCTCTCTTTACAATGCAGTACAGCATCTGTGGCAATGCGGTATATCGAAACATAAGAAAGGTAGGTTGTAGGAAAATAACAGAATTTACTGGGTCCTTACAGTCTGCGACATACATACAGGGTGTCCAGAAAAAAAGATACTACGGAAATTAAGTCGCATTCATTAACACACGTGCCGATTTTGTTCCAAATTCATGTGCTAATAGTGCAAGATTTGGCAAAACTCATGAGCACTGTAATGCGTCGTTGGAAAGTTGTCTGCTTGCCCTCCGAGATGGTCAACATGACCATCAGTCACCTGCAGACTGTGCTAGTGCTGGAGCTAATCCGCCGTAAGGTCGCTCACATTGGGTATCTGCTTTGAGGAGCTGCCGCAACTAACCAAAGAGTTTACATGCCATGTGGCACCTACTGTATATTTTGCCATATTTTGACGAATACAAGCATGTGCCATTTTAAAATGTAAGGTGTTTATTTTCGGAATTAGAGCAAAAAAATAATAGCATCCGTTTTTTCTGGACACCCTGTACCTATTGCGTAGTCTGTTTTCACCAGGGCCGTTTTGTTGCGAAGTGTTCAGTTAAAAATGTTCAATAGGTATGTCGAAACATTTTCTCTTGTGAAATAACATGTTCTCTCTCTCTCTCCTCTCTCTCTCTCTCTCTCTCTCTCTCTCTCTCTCTCTCTCTCTCTCTCTCTCTCTCTCTCTCTCTCCTCTCTCTCTCTCCCTCTCTCTCTCTCCCTCTCTCTCTCTCTCTCTCTCTATCTCTCTCTCTCTCTCTCTCTCTCTCTCCCTCTCTCTCTCTCTCTCTCTCTCTCTCTCTCTCTCTCTCTCTCTCTCTCTCTCTCTCTCTCTCTCTCTCTCTCTCTCTCTCTCCTACAGGCGAGCCAGTCAGAGGGAGAGATGCCTGTCCCTAAAACCCCACCACCGCCACCGCTGCCAGTCACCGGAGACGACTTCCGAAAGCCCAGAAAGTCAAGTAAGTGTCTAAAGCAGCGGTTAGAGTGATGGATTTTGTAAGGTGAGACTAACGAGTCATTGGTAAGAACAGTGTCCAGATGCTGATTTTGATGCTGATAATAAAGTAATGTATATTTTAAAAGCAGCACCAAACCCCGAACAATCGCATTATTCTGCACTTCCTGGCATTGAGACTTCTGCACTCACAGACAACTTGAGACTTCACCACTCCCTGGCAACATGAGACTTCTGCACTCTCTGGCAACTTGAAACAACCCTGTGCCGACCACCCTTGTTTGAAAGTGCTGGCGGGCATCCAGTTAGGAAGTCACTGTTGGCACTGGTTGGTTTGTTTGGCAAGATCGCTGTGTGTTGGTGCTGATATACGATCTTTTCATTGTCGCGCCTGTTGGGTATATTCATCTGAAGCCTTGTTAACCCGGCGGCCGCTGGGCCTCCGCGCCACCCGCCGGCCGCTGGGGGGGGGGGGGGTAACTATATGCCCCCCACCCTTTACTTCTGCGACGATATCGCCGCAACGCGAAGAGATAGAGAAGCGAAACTTTGTACACATCTTCCTGAATACCTAGCCGAGGTTGTGTCTTAATTTGGTGTCGATCCCATTTGAAATGACGTCACAATGACGTCATAAGTGAAATTATAGATTTGCGACTCTCATATTCCTCACGATATATCAGATATATGGGACCGAATATAACGGGTCGATTATTGGTCAGAAACTAGATGGAAGTGTAGTTAGATGTTTTAGGATGACAGCAGGTGCTGTCTAGTTCATTTACAGTTGAGTTTCATGCTCAGCGTCATCAGAAACGGTCCATATCGGAAAACGACAAAACTATGACGTCACTGTGACGTCATCTTAGGTGCTACAACCACCAAACTTTCCTCAAACATTGCCTAGGTATTCATTTGAAGCTATGTTAAGTTTCACCTTCGTAGCTTATCAGGTTTCGGAGATATTTCACAAAACGTAAGGGGGGGGGGCTACTTTATGCCCCCCCCCCCCCCAGCGGCTCGTGGGTTAATGTTGGTGCTGTCCAGGCGGACTGCACGAAGGGTTAGGGGTGCGGATATCTGAAGCTGAGAATCTGATACTGAGAATTTCCTGAGACTGTCTGAGGATTATCTGATGATACTAGTATATAGTATATCTAGTATAGTATATACTAGATATACTATTATAGTTTATCTAGTAAAGTATATCTAAGGCTGATGACATTTATTGATGGTTTCCGCTGAACAGTTTCAGTTATGACATGCTTTCTTAGTTATAGTATTTTCAAAATATGTTCCATGGGATTTAATTTACCTGATCAGTCAGCATTATGCGTGACTGATAACGTTGACGATACCTAAGTCGTGAAGCTGTGATCATCGCCAAAAGGGCTGAGGAGAACTGCCAATGGTGACACTGTCACCAATGTGTTGTGTGTGCCCCTTGGGTGACTCTCTTAGTCAGCCTAATGCCTACACCCCCTTCTCCCACTATATCCACATGGTGTCCCCCAGGGTGACCCCTTCATTTGTTCCCATTGCGATTTGACCACTCTGACTACCACTCTTCAAGTTTGGCCTTCACCGTGACCCCCTGTATATCTCAGTTATGACTAGAGATGTCAATCGGATACCAACTTTTTGGTATACCGATACCAAACTGATACCAACTTGGTAGTTGGTATTTCAATCCTAATGTGGTTGGTATTTTGTTGGTATTATGAACCCTCACTAATGTATAAGAGGCTAAGAAATTGGTAAAAAGTTGGTATTTGCCTCATACTTCGAAGTTGGTTTGGTATCGGTATTCCGATTTCCTGTAGGTAATTGACATCACTAGTTATGACCCATCATGGTCTCAACTCAGACCCCACTGTTACTCACCTATGATCCCCTTAGCACTAGAATCACTGATCAACTACGATGACTGCACGGAGAGAAAAATCACTCTATATAGAGTCAGTGACACCAAGTTTAGGAGTCATGATTCCTTTTTATAGTGTCACAAAACATTTCGACTCTGTAATTGACTCTATGTAGTGTCATCTAACGAAGAGTCATTTGACTCCCTTAAACTGACACCCTATTGGCGGATACAAATGACTCTCTACGGAGTCGTCTGCACCATGTTTGGGAGTCATAACCCATTTTTTAGTGTCACATTTTATTTTGACTCTATGAATATTCAGAGGTGATTGACTCCTTACGGTGTCGCATTAAGAATCACTTAACTTCCATCAGATGACCCTATATTTTATTCGTATTTACAGTGTCACTCAAAAACTTTTGACGAAGAGTTAAAATATGGTATAGGTACTCAACTCATGGCAAGGCTGGTTGGCATAATGATGCATGCTTCGTTGTATAGAAGCGTTACGAAAAGAGAGGCTGCATGCGGTGGTTAGAACTTAACGTGGATTCTTCACACGGATAAAAATAATTAGTCCCCCGGGAATCACGATCCACTATTTGGGAATCAACTGACACCCATGTTGTAATCCGATTCTGAAAAACAGTGTCCATACACCGTTTTTTAGTGTAAATTGATCTGGGTCAGAATCACATACCCAAGGGTCATTTGACTCCCAAAATTTTGGCTCCCAAGTTTCTGCACGGTGTCAGTGTAAAATGACACATCTAAGCGTTTTTTGACGCCATCATGAGGAGTTTTTATATCCTATGGGTGTCATTTCACACAGTTGCGCGTTTTCGCAATCCGTGACTCCCTTATTAGGTGTAATTTGGTTCTCAGTGGTGTCATAATATTCCGTTCAAATGACTTATTGGGTGTAATTTGACCCTCAGAAGTGTCATAATATTCCGGTGTCATTTGAGCCCCATTGGGTTCAAATGACACTAGAATATTATGGCACCACTGAGGGTCAAATTACACCTAATAAGCGAGTCACGGATTACGAAAACACTCAACTGAGTGAAATGACACCCATTGGGGTTAAAAACTCCACATGATAGCGTCAAAAGACGTTCAGATGTCTAATTAACGTGATTATAAACACGTGCTGATATCAATACTGTGTAGTAAGTGACCGTGAGTGTGAATGACACGGGGGTATCATTGTTGATATTGACAATTTGCCACGATGTCAGACACATTCAAGAGTGTTCAGCAAAGGTACTACCGGGTGTAGGGAACATTCCAGTAAGAGTCATGAAATGTGTTAAAGTTTAAACCCTAAATCACAAGAGAGATTGTTTTGACGTCACTGGTGGTAGGAGTCAAGACCGCGAAATCAATGGATTTTCGGTGACTCAGACTTCGACTCCAGCTCCGGCTTCCAAAATCGACTCTGACTCTGACTCCAGCCAGAACTGTCGACTCCAACCGACTCTGACTTTGACTACGTAACCCTAGTGGGAACCACAGCTCAGGTCCAGTGGTTTGAGTCGTTTGAGTCAATGCCCAATCAGCAAGCTGCATTGTCGTGTGACGTCATTTGTGTGCTGGCCATGCCGGTCCGCCACGAAGATAAAATAGCTCGACCTTGCAGAAAAACCGTTAGAAAAGCCGTTGGCGCTTCAGTTGCCGGCGGTGTGGCCACGTGCGTGCGTGTGGTGTGAGCTAGGAGAGGAATTTATTTGAATTTACGCACTTGTTATGTCGCTAAACGTTGTTTAAAGTGTTGTTTTATTTCAAGTGATAGTGCGTTAACGATAAACTTCAGTTTTTATTTGTAGTTTGCTCATCATGTGTATTCAAATGACGAGGCGCCCTGCACTCGGTGAAATTTTCAAGAGAGGAGAAGAAAGCAGCGCACCATGGAAACGGAAGCAAGTTTTATGTTATTCAATTGCAGAATAACGTCTGAGTAGCGATAATCGCCGGTTGATGGAACATTGTTGAGATGTGAGTAATTCCTCATGCAGGCTCGGACCAAAGGGGCATGCCTGGCATTCGGACATTGCGTGTGTGAGATATAGAGCGCTGGTTTGCGCGATGGTTAGGCCCAGAGTCTGCCTTTTCGGGGTTACTTTCGAATGTTTTTGAAGTGTTTAATTGGCTGTGTGCATGGTAGGTTCTGCAGGACAACCTGGCGACCGTGCTCCTTTAATATATTCCTACAAGGACCAGCTTGTTTTACTAGAAGAGTGGAACGATGCAGCCGCCACGCAGTTTGTGACGTTGACAATGTCCATTTAGTTTCGCTGTCGGGGAAAATCACGATATTGCTACATCATATCGCAATTTTACCCCCGCTACAGGAGTCAATATACGGGCGTTGTTAGTGCCAAACGCGGTTTCATAGTACACGACGACCTAGTGTCGCTTGACTCGAGGCGCAGGTGTTGAGCGGGCGGAGTCAAATGACTAGCATGGGTGTCGTCATAAAACACACACTGAATCAAAGAGTCAAAATCCGATTCATTATAACGTGTCGCGTGACTCGTGGGAGAGTCGCATGACACCCTCTGGTGTTTTAAGACTCTCTTATACAGTGCAAATTTACTCTACATTCCAGTATCAAATGAGAAGTAATTTGACTCTAGGCGCGGGTACAAAAAAGGAACCGAGTCATTTTTGGTCTCCCTAGAGTCATTTTTTTTCTCAGTGTGTCTACTATTACTCCCTTAAAACACCCCCTCTACCCCGTTCTTCCCCTCAGAGGCGCTGTTTGTCGACTCTGCCTTCTTTTCTACCCGCGACCATCCCACGTGGGAGGATCAAGTCAAAATGGCGCGAAAAATAGCCGCGTCTCTCTCTGATGCCACAAATCGCCACTCGCGAGGTCAAACGATGTACGAACGACGAAAGAAGCGCAGCCCACGCTGGATTCATCAAGGTGAGCGGAGAGGCCGGTTCGAATCCCGCTGAGGGCGGAACTTTTTTAGGACGGTGTTGTGTGGTTGAAGAAGTGTGTTCTTAGTGGAATGTTTGGTTGCAATCCCGCAAAAGACCAATTTTATATACATACATACCTACATTCCATTCAACCAATTGTCAATAGTCCTTGTCTTGTAGTAAAGAGCAAGTAGCATACGAATATATTCAAGAAGAAACCGGTCCGCTTATTTATATGTAATTGCTTCTTGAATATATTCGTATGCTACTTGCTCTTTACTACATACCTGTCCAATATATCTACAGTCCTTGTCTTCTTCGTAAGACGCGAGTGAAAATGTTTTTTATTGCTTAGTGAACAACAATTTTCCTGATATACCATTTCAGATGTTGCCAATGAGAGTGAACCAGATTCTACATCAGTTAAGTAAAGTGTGGTTAACACTTTGCGCTGTTTGTGTCGCACCGTATTGTCCCGTAGTCCGTACCGTTTTATCTCATGTCTCGTTATCGTCTTTTGCTCGTAATTTTCATCCGTCCGTCCCTATGCGTTTATGTCTGCTTGTGTCGTACTTTTTTACCTGCTATTCTTCGCTTCTTTTATGTGATAGGATAGTCTTGTTCGTAGACATTGGTCAGCCGCGTATTATTTTTTCCGAAGTTTGATTTCTGTAAGAGCATGGCATGAACAGAGCATTGCGTCAAAAATTACGCATGTCGGCGTAACGTTGCACCACCGTTGCACGCACGTGCATCTTCTCTGCATCTTCTCTTCTGACGTAAAGGCAGGCTTACATCGATTACTGCGCTGGGTAACCGACGATTTGGTCAGTAGACAGAAACACTATTCGTTAGACCTGTCTTTTCTATCGGAAAACAAACCTGAGTTATCCAACATTTTAGCAAAGACTGCCTGGGGTCAATTATCTCAACCGGGGTATACATGATGTTAACCTGCGCGGGGCTGGGGTCTCCAGCCGAACGCGCGGGGCTGGGGGGGGGGTAAATTTTACCCCCCCCCCCTGTTATCTCCCGAACTAATGGTCCGATTTGGAAAATTCAAACGCCAATCGAAAGCTCTCATCACGAACTACTAAAAACATGTACTTAATTTAAAGTTTGAGGTCAAGGTCAAGGTCAGGTCAAGGGTACAAATTGCAAGTTTCTACAGTATCGGCCTTGCACCGTAGTTGCCGATGAATGGAGTCATGGACTGAGACTGATCGCCCAAAACGTGTTCTTAGGCTACCAAGACAATATTCGTTGCATACAATATCATTCAGAGGTCAAGGTCAAGGTCAGGTCAGGTCAGGTCAGGTCACCAAAAAACAAAATATAGAAAAGGGCATGTGCGACACATGTTTTATGGGTCATTTTACTCATAGAATTCAATAGGCACACTCAATAAGTGATATGGACCACCTCTGGATGAATTTCAGGTCGAGGTCAGGTCAAGGTCAGGTCAAGTGAGGTCAAATTTTGAAGTTGGTTGTTAAGGCCTAAAAAGGTGTCTATCTGATGCAGTTTTTCACGGCGAATCGAATGGTGCTATTTTTATTTCCGTACGAGGTCTAGAACTTCCAAAAAAGTCATTTTTCAAAAATTTTGTGTGTCGTGACGTCATAAAACTTTGAATAACTCCCACATTTTTGAACCGATTCTTCTAAAATTTGGTATGTAGGTGCACATAGACCACTGCTCTGACATATATTCCGGTTTTTTCGATAGACACAAAGTTTTGGATTTATAATGATTTTCCCAAAAAAGTCAGTTTTTTGAAAAAATTTAGGCCAAAATCCAAAATTTTCAAAAAACCGAGATAGCCATTTGATAGACAAAGTAAAATTACGTATAACCTTTTTGTTACGTCTTGATTCCTTTAAAAATGAAGATGTTAGCGGCGTTTGAACTTTTGCCGTTTTTGAGGCGAAAATGGCGAACATGACGTCACTAAAACGTCAATTTCTCAAAAATTTTCCGACGGATTTCGCTCAAATTTTCAGGAAACGTGTCAAATTGATGTAAGAAAAGGTACTGAAAGTTTGGCGGCGCTGCGCGCCGCCGTTTTTGAGATATCGCAAAAATTCGTGAGGGGGGGTAAAATTTACCCCCCCCCCCCCAGCCCCGCGCAGGTTAAAGGAAGACTGCCACCTTCAAAAAGTTTTCTCAGATCGGCCTATGATTTATTCCCTGGACAAAACAAAATTTTAGAATTCACCTGACAAAGTATCATCACGTGAATCGCGAAAAAAAAATGTCGATTATCATACAATTATCAATCGGTTAATGTCTAGCGACAATGTTTACACATCACTAGACTTCAAGGTCATAAGATTATTACATTTTATTTGAAAAAGTAAGGTATTTTATGATTTACTAATATATGATTTCATAAGAAATTGGCCATGTTTAATTTATTTTGCATTTAAGTTCGTAAAACATTTTTAAAAAATCATGGCTCATTTGGAATGGGTCTGGCCCATGATAAACCCCATTTCCCACACTTTTTTGGAAAAAATGAACTACTGAATATATAAGTTTAACTTTTATTTTGACACTCCAAAATTCTTCTCTGATCTCGAAACAATCAAAGTTTTGACATATATTTACCAAAAGATAAGAAAATTAGTGTTTCAAAGTTATCGATAAACAGTAGAGATGTCGGTTTTCTTGGACTAAAAAAATGGCATCAAACTGAACTTTGGTCTCCGATTTCTCGCAAACGGGTTCGAATTTCGGAAAACCGACTTCAGTCTGGGACATAGGTGGCTCAGCTCTAGTGAAAACCGTTTTATGGAAAAAAAGGTGGCAGTCTACCTTTAAGCGGAATAATGCCTATGTAGAATGCAACGTTGGGTAGTATGCAATGTTGGGTAACCGATGTAATGATTTTTCTTTGGTGTGCATGGCTCTTTAGCGCTGATGCCAATGTTGTTATTTGGATAGGAGAGCAAAGATTGGACTACCTGTGTTCCTATGTAGGTAGCCATGACGTGGATTATATATTTGTTCATAGCGTCATATATTGGATTAATTATGTGATAACTTCATTATATCTTCAATAGTGGCAACTAAATTTCGAATAAAGGTTTGCGGGATAGATTAGAGTTTTTCTGAGGACAGTTTTGCTTGTGGGAGATCTTAGCTGCAGTTCTCTCCGAACTTTGAATATTAATATCAAATCAAAGTTTAATTAAAGTGAATTACTAAAGCGCGTTCTAATGCTGGACGTCAGAGAATGATTTTTAATTTGCGAACCCCATGGTGGATGATAACAAATCAGACGTTTGTGACGTCAAATCTAATGCCTGTGATGTCATATGAGTCTTTAGTAATATCAGGTTCAACGTCGTTGATTTGGTACAAGTTTTAAACGTTATTAATTTGCTTGCCCTCATCCAAGAAACGAAAAGCTATTTGTGTCTCAGCCACATGGGCGTCTTTTCCCCGCTTTTCTTACTGGTAGTGAAGTGTTTCCCTCCCGTTTTATAAGTAGGTACTGTCATTGCTTCCTTTTGATGTCTTTTCAAGTATTGTTTCATCCCCGTCTGTATTTCAAACAACCACCAACTGGGATTAAGCTGGCACATTTCGTTTCACTTTGTGTAACTCGTATGTAATTGCCCTTTACATGCCATTGCGATTGTGACGTCACATTACAGTTCGTTGCAGTGCAGTGTGAATGCTGTATAGCAGTATACGCGATTCCTCTGTGACGTCATTGACTCTATTTACAGGTGGAGCTCCGCTAACATCTGAGGATTACCGCGGGCCGACGCTGACGGTGGTAAGTACCCTGATGACGTCATCGGTGGATTGAAAAATACTTATTTTTCTGTGTGTGCGTGCGGGATTTTCAATCATTTTTTCAATTTCTCAGATCAGATTTTCAATTTCACATCACATTTGTACATCGCGCTACTCGTTTTACTGTTTTGCCAGAAGATGTTTGCGGAGTTTTAGCTGAAACTATCACGTTCCATGTTGCGGAAACTCGGCGGCAAATCATTGTAGCCCGTGACGGCATAAAGCAGAAATAGCCGACGTCCCGATTCCGTCCGTATTACAGGTCTCTCCCAGGGAGAGGCACTCGCCTTGGCCGTATATGGGCCAGAATGTCTAACGATTTCCGCCATGTTGTGTATACCAAGTCTTGAAAAGTTGATCACTGCAATCAAACTGCAAGCATGAAGCAGCAGCACTTTTGAGTATAACCTCTCACTAAACTGCACCTCTGCTACCGTACATGCAATTTATATTTCTGGTATACACAACATGGCGGAAATCGATAGACAAAAACAAGTCACCAATGCTCCTTCCAGTATATATTAGAGTTCAGTGGTCTCTCCAGTATGGCAGCCTGCATGTAAGAGCTGTCTATACAGAAATCACGCACTGCTTTCAGCAGGGCACCACGGCCGTAAGCTTAAAACGGAACAGAGTATAATTATCGTAACCGTCACCTCTGCTTGACAGCAAACGAAGCCACTGTTCGAGCTGATCATGAATCCTCAAGGTCAACTACTTGACCTTGAATCGCTTCGGGACAAAGGAGTCGTAATAAACACTGAGGTAAGATCGTACAAATATTGCTATCGTTGTATAAATGTATTGTAATTTTGTGTGGTTGATATGCACGCCTGACGTAACAATTGTATGATTTGTATGAATGAGTGAAACACTCATTGATCCCAATGAGTGTTTTTTAATGTTTCATAATAATATTTCCCTTTTTAGTCTGCAAAGCAATCGGTGTCTAACATGGGAGTTAAAAAAACATCGTTGGAATTGAATAACAAAGAAAATGAGCGTTAGAAGTTTGGCTCATACAAGTTTCCTATTTTAATCTATCCAATAGTGTCCCGGACATAGGGCGGAACGGGGGGGCACCGGGCACCGTGCCCCCCCTTGGATTCTGCAAGGGGGGCACCATAGCAAGGTGCCCCCCCTTAAATTGATGTATTAGTACCAGGGGCGGATTCGGAAACTCGGGAAATTCGGGAAAGGGGAGGTTCATGAATCGAAGTGGTGCCCTACCTAGTACCTATGCCCAAAATTAAACCTCAACGGATTTCGCCCACTTAATTTTGGTGGTGCCCTATTTTCAGTTTTTTTTTTGCTTTATTTTTGGTTAGTCATGTGATGACTGGTGCCCCTGCTAAGCCGCTGGTGCCCCTGGAAAACTGTGGTACCTACCTACCCTGCCCCCTGACAAGCCTACGGTGGCCCTGACATGACTTAGTGCCCATGGGCCTGACAGGCCCGGGGTGTGGTGGCCCCTGACAGGCCTGTGGTGTCCTTGCTAGGCATGTGGTGTCCCTGGGCCTTGGCAGGTTTGTGGTGCCCCTGTTAGAACGTAGGTGCCCTTGACAGGTTTGTGGTGCCTCTGACAATCCTAAATTGCCAACGACAGGCTTGTGGTGCCCTTGACAGCCCATGGTGCCCTTGAGAAGCCGGTGGTTTCCCCTGCGAAGCCGATAGTGTCCCTGACAGGCCTCTGGTGCCCCTGGCGTTCTGTGGTGCCCCTGGAAGACCTGTATGCTTTTGCTAGGCCGATGTGCTCCTGACAGGCCTGTTGCCACTGACAGGCCCGTGGTGCCCCTGCTAGGCCTTTGGCACCCCTGGCGGGCCTGTGGTGCCCTGTCGGCTGTCAGGCCTGTGGTGCTCCTGGCAGCAGTGGTGACCCCAGCCCTAAGTCATGACATGTGACCTCCACCCTGGGATTCGCCACTGATTAGTACTGCGATGGCTTCTTGGGAATTTATACATGTAGGATAAATGGAATTTATCAAACGACAATAAGGAAGAGACAAACATAGGTACTTGAGGATCAGCTTAAGTTAACCACACATACGGGCAGGGTGTAATTTTCCTAAAATGATTGTGGGTGCCCAGCTGTAGGGGCGCCCGGCGCCAGGCCGTTTTGGGGCGCGATATATATTCTGTTGTGGGGCCTAAATTAACACCGAATTTGATAACATTGCTAGCCGAATGGCGCTTCAAGTGACGTGTCTGACTAAGCAAATACACGCTTAAAAGTGGAAACTGACCGGAAGGACGTAAAAAATATGTAGAGGGCGCCATCCAGTAGGAGGGGCACCAATGTGAGGCGCCCGCGGTTACGACTTACGAGGGCGCCGTGAGACGATGAAAAGGGCGCCATTCTCTTAGGAGGCGCCGAGTGATTGAAACGCTATGTGGTCTATGGGCGCTAAGAGGCCAGAAGGGCGCCGCACAGTCAGTAGTGCTACGTTTGGTGGGGGACGTGGGGGCGCCAGATGGTTACGAGGGCGCCTTGAGATCATGTAAAAGGGCGCCATTCTCGTAAAAGGGTGCCGAGTGATTGAAAACGCTATATTGTTCAGGGGCGCTGAGAGGCCAGAAGGGCGCCGAATATCGAGGGATGCACGGTGAACAGAGACCTAAGGACGCGAGACGGTCAGGAGGGCGCCGTTAGACCATGAGAATGGCGCGGTGCTTCAAAAGTGCGCCATTCTCCCAGAAGGGCGCCGAGTGATGATTAAAAACGCTATCCATGCTCGGGGTTACAGCAAGTTAATACGCATTACAAACGGACTACAATGGTGAGCGAATAGAAAATCCGTTCCTGATACGCATTTACTTGCTCATGTAACCCCGGTACATGAACGCGAGACGGTTAGGAGGACGCCGTAGAGCATGCGAAGGGCACCGTGCTCTCGAAAGGACGCTTGCAGCCTTTGTAAAAGACTTGTGGGTGCTTTTTCATCATTGTGTGGGCATAATTCAGGATTGTGGGGTGCATATGCCCCCACAAAGAGATATAAAATTAGTACACCCCTGCATACGGGGTGAACTGCATTTCGTTTAGTAAAAAAAAAAAAAATCATCGTGTCAGGGCTGTGACGAAAAATAAGTGGCCTAAATCCGATGAGAAAACAGGATTTGGGGGTACCTAGGTTTGGCTCCTTGAGCCATGGTGCCCCCCCTTGTCTCAAATCGTTCCGCCGCCTATGGTCCCGGATATTACTATGAGGATTGCTTGAAAAATCGTTGAAAATCGTTGAGAAGTTGATGAAAAATGGTTAATAAGATAGTGTTCTTACAAAATCTCTTCCACGGATCATATAGCGGCGCAGCGTCCGCCTGGCAGTGTATGCTGCACCGGAACACACGAACGCATTGCGGCACAGTCTAGCTACCTTTCTTCATTCATAAGCCACCTTTTCTGCTTGCGTTGCTGATACTTTTACTGTGGTTTTGAAAACAAAGTAACAGAACATGTTGTCTACGTTTTGACCGTACTTTTTGAAGCTATTGGCACCATGCTACCTTTTGCACCTGTTCTTGCTTCATTTACAAATTGTCACACGGCCAACAAACATTGGAATACCTATGTTGTGACATTTGTAAACGGATCTGGTGCGGTATACCAGCGTTGAGCAGCTGCGCCTGACAATGTATACTGTACCGGGAGACACGCGTGTCTTGCGGCACAGTCCGCCCGTCTGGAACTACAGCTGACAGCCGCTGACTTCGATTTCTATCCTCTATATAAGCGCGACTGACCAGTGTCTGTCGTCGAATCCATGTTGGTTGATTCGGAGTTTTTAGTGGTGGGTTTGACTATGTAGTGACTACCGCCTTTACCGATTTTGTTCTTAAATTTCGCCGTTTATCTTTGGACTGAGTGACATATGCTAAGCACATATGCTTAGCGACTAGCATCTCGATACAATGTTCAATTCAAGGCCATCTATAGAAGGTACAGTCACTCCCCCGTCGACCAATCAGAGACGTTCCTGAGTGACGTCGCCCCTGATGCTCGCAAAGGGTACTCTATTCCTTTACAACGTTAAAATGACTAACTTAATTTGAAGATTATTGATGCCACCTTCCACTTAATGCTCAACCGTTGCTGTCAATAAAAAGCCCAACTAATTTCTAGCGATAAAAAAGAGCGGTAATATGCTAAGAAATGGCCAGTTTTGAAGATATGGACGATTTAAAAACCCTCTGCAGTTGCAGGAAAGCAACGTAAAATCTCATCGAGCTTATATTTTACAATGAATAAATAATTTTTCTTTAAGTTTTAAATATAGTATTTATTTCATAAATATCTTTATTAAAATATTTTTATTATTTGTAACTTTATTTCAAAATTATATTTTCAAAAATGGCGGCTGCTGGCAAGTAGCTTGGAAGCGATTGTGGCGCACCGCGCCATTATTGTCCTAAGGCCCCCTTATGATGTCATCAAAAGTGGAGTGACATGGGCCTGGTTCAATTGTTCTTGGATTTGATCTTCCATGTAACGAATATGGTGGTGGTCGAGTTATTGGAAAGTTATATAACTTTAGAACAATTTCTTTATACGGCTGGATTATTGGCGATTGTTGTTGTTGACAAAGTCTTTTACGTGATAATAGTGACTATGGTCTATGATATATTGGCAGATTCTCTTAGATGATACCAGTAACTACCGTTATTGTTTGTTGGCAAAGTCCCCAGATGATAACAGTGACTACCATTCATTATTTGTTGACAGAGTCTCTCGCCAGAGCTGTGCGCAGAACTGATCAGTGATCTTCACTCGGCCAGGGGAAAAGGTTAGTAAGATCAATTGGTGAAATGTGAGTAAGTTTTGTGATGATTGATAAGGAAGAATAGGGGAAAAAAGTGGGCGGTATTTTAGGATAAGTACTGGGAGTGCGATCGACTGGCGAAGGAAAAGGGTAGGATAAGCATGGGTGAGAAATGGGTGAGAATGGATGAGAAAGAAAACAAGGAATGGTGAGAGTGGTGAGTTATGGGAATGAGTGATTCGAGGTGGCCAATATTAAATAGTGAGAGCAAAGAGGTAAATGTCAGTAATTGGTGAGAGATAAGTAAGAATTGCTGGTAATGTGAAAAAAGCATTTTGTGATAGTCGAGTGATTGGAGATTAAAAAAAAGACAATTTGCATCCATTATGTATGCATTGATCCATGATTACATTCTTAAGGACTGCCTGCGTCTGGCTTCTTTGCTTCTAGCTCCTGCAATATTCCAGGATATGCCATTAGCACTCTGAAATTTAATCGCCTCACCTAGGAAATACCTAATCAAGTCCGAGGTTTGTGTCTCACATTTCTCTAATTACCGCCAGTCCGAGAACAAAGCGTAAATGCGTGCATTCGAACCGCAGAACCGTATTACTCATTTTTTCGTACACCGAATACTGTTGATAGCAGCTGATGGTTTCTCGGTACATCCTTGGGGAGATAAATGTATCTTAGTATCTGTAGCAGTATCTGTTTGTATTGTAGGTAACTAAGGACAGAAGCGCGACTAGTCAGTGAGGAATAGGCTGATCGCAACTAATGACTTTGTCGTATTTCAGTGGAAATGGGGAGATGTAAGATTATTGTATCTCTCTCTCTCTCTCTCTCTCTCTCTCTCTCTCTCTCTCTCTCTCTCTCTCTCTCTCTCTCTCTCTCTCTCTCTCTCTCTCTCTCTCTCTCTCTCTCTCTCTCTCTCTCTCTCTCTCTCTCTCTCTCTCTCTCTCTCTCTCTCTCTCTCTCTCTCTCTCTCTCTCTCTCTCCTCTCTCTCTCTCTCTCTCTCTCTCTCTCTCACAGGCGGTCAGATTTTCGCTCGCCGTAAGAAGCGATCAGAACGATGGGTGTAGATGAGTTCCACCCAGAACCTTCCCGTCCGGAGAGAGACCCACCACTCATACCTCAGCCCAAACCGCGCCACGTGCAGTCGAACACGTGGCAACCGACCCGTGGCGCAACGTGGGAGAGGCGAACACGAGGCGGCGTCTGGAGAGGATGAGACGTTGAAGCACATGTGGCCGGAAGGAGAGAGAAGGTGGAAGAGACTCGGGGTAAGTAGGGGAGGAAGGAGGGAGGAAAGGGAGAGAGAGAAAGAGAGATAGGGAAGGAGAGAGAGAGAGAGAGGCTTCTAGGTTACATCTACTAGTTAGCAGCCTCCGTTCATCTTTGCAAGGTTTGACTTTGTGTGCAAGCTTTGATCTCGGATCATTTTTCATCAGTGTTATATTTCTGAAGAGACATGACCTTGTCCAGTATGAAATTATAACATTCAAGCTTCTAAACTTCAAAGCTGACGATGCGAAGGAAAAAGCCCGTGAAATCAAAACCAACAGTTGGCATGTGAGCAGCACCAGAATTTTTTTCCGCTCTTCAAAAAAAAATCACAATATTTACCATTTTATAACCCGCGCCCGGCTGGGGGTCCTGGATTTCCACGCCCTGCTGGGGGGGTGTTTGAACACCCCCCCTTGTAACTCGGCTCCTGGGCCACGTAGCGATACGCAGAAGGCGGCGTTCGAAAGAGCGTCAAAAATAATGACGAAATCACTTCAGTCAATTTTTGGGTCAGGTCAAAGGTCAGGTCACCATAGGTCATTGAAGGCAAAATTTCGCCGATTTCCAGGTCGAATGTCGAAAATTTCGAAGAAGCCAAGGCATAACTCGGGAACCAATAGAGCTACAGCGCTGCGGAAAAGCGCATTCGATAGCCCTATTAACGCCCTTTCTGAGTAATTCTCTCAGATTTGACCTACCGTCAACGGTTTTGCCTGCAGGGGGCAAAAACTGCAAAAATAGCCGATTTTTTTCGGAAACAGTTTTTCTGCAATAACTTTGACCCAAGCCTTGTACGAGCTTACTTTTACCAGCATCGTGTTCCTCTCGTCAAGACGCATCGAATGAACTATAACTTGACCTTGAAAGGTCAACTTGAAAATTTGACCTCAGGTCAAGGTCATGACCTGACCGGAAAGGGTCATGTTGCATATCAGTCGATCCGTATCGTCGAGCTGAACACATCAAAGGCGTTTTCATCGCTCTAGCATGCCTCTATCAAAAGTTATTTGCGAAAAACTGTTAGATACCATTCGTGACCTAAGATGACCTCAGGGCATAAATAAGGGTCACGGACACCATTTTCATGTTCAGTGTGTCTAAACCACTTGTAATGTGGTGTTTGGGAGTGTTTATAATGTCTTTCGTCCAAAAGAGGCGCATTTCAATTTTCTCCCATTGACTTATAATGGGGAGGTCGCAAAATTGACCTGACCTTAGGTCATCGATATCAAAATTCTGAGATATACATTTTGTACATGCTATTGCTCTAAGCAATCTCTGAAAGTTTCAAAGCGATCGGTCACTCGGTGTAGCTATGACAGACATTGAAACTTTTTATGAGGTGAGGTCACTTCAAGTGACCTGGTGACCTGACCTTGAATGACCTTGGTCTGAAATTTTCACAACATGTGTAGAATTGATGTATGATAAGGTGTACCAAAAACGGCGGCGCTCCGCGCCGCCGTTTTTGAGATATTCGCGAAAAACCACAAGGGGGGGTGTTCAAACACCCCCCCCCCCCAGCAGGGCGCGGGATAACTAGAGCCTAGACTTTTGTTAGCCTGCGGCATACCTATGTCATTCACCATGTGTAGGTAAGTATGCCACGACCTAATGCATGTGTTTCTTTTTTCCTCCTTAGTACGTTTCTTGTTTGATGATGTGCATATTGAAATATGATTTACACTTACATTTTCAGTATAAATACTACGCTACCTTCGGTGCGACTAGAGGACCTGTGGCAGCCCTACCAACCGGCGCGGTTCCCGACAGATGGCGTCTACTCTCCCAGAGCGCCGCAGGGCTGGCACACTGCCAACACAGGTCAGGGTCAAGGACGTAGAGCTGCGGAATTTCACGTCCGCAAACCCGCTTTTGGACAGTGATTAGCGGATAGGTGGTATTCTGTTAGGACTAGATCTTAAGGTCAAGAATATCAGGCTTAGCAGTCAGAGGATATATGGTGTCTTATTGCCATACCTATTTTATACCCCGAACCACAGTTAAAACGATTTGAGGCAAGCTCATCCCACTCGATCTATAGTTTATTGTTATTTGTTAATTCGCTTTAGCTGTTCATTGAAAAAATTTATCGTATTGAAATTTTTCCAAGTTAGTACCAACTCCTGTAAAAACGGAGTCATTTTATCCCGTCTCTACGTAGGTAGCCCGTGAGATATACAGAACTAATATAATCAATTGAAAGAAGAAGACGCACGGCGATTACTCCCGCACTTAACCTGTTGAGTCATGACGCTCCCCCCTCCCCTCCCGCAGAGCTACCCTCGGCAGCGCTCTCGTTTCCTGAAAACGTGAATCCGCCTCCGGGCGGTACAGTCTCTGACGCAGCTGCCGAGCCGGACCTCGGTACAGTCTCTAACATTGAGACCGTGGACATCTGGGACTGGTCGGCCCAGCAGCAGCGGAGGCAGCCGCCGCCGACAGCGACGCTGTTCGAGTCACCCATCGGTGAGTTTTGGGGGAAAACGGAGTGAATTTATTCCGTTTTAGCAATTGAAAAGACCGGAGTACATAATTATGTATTTCGGATCATTCTGTATTCTGTATTTCGGTCTTTTCAATTTTAAAATAATACATTTGTGCCATGTTGATGATTAATTTCTTTCCATTTTATTTACAGTAATCATGGCAAAAAAACACCATCCATTACATTAAATTTATTCCCCTTCTCATTGCCTTGTGAACTGATCGCGCTGAGGAAAATTGAATGCTAGTTTGGCAAACCTATGAGCAAGAACGGAGTCAAAGTGCAGTGTACATGTGTTTTGATCACTGCAAATGCATAACATGGAGAAATGTGTCTAAAAAAACTTGATAAAATATGTATTGTTCTTTGCAGCACTATACTCGCATACTCGCACGGGCATCAGTAGCGGTTGCGCTCTAAAGTATTTCTTTCATCGGTTTGCCAGATGACAATGTTTTAGGATGTCTATTCTCATTCTACTTTGTATTATTGCTGTTTTTCTTTGATTTTTTTTTCTCGATTTAGCCACTCTCCTTTCGTGCCACCTCGAAATCCGCAATAACTGTTTCTATACAGTTATCATCTCTTTCTATTTCATAGTCTTGTGCTGAAGTCGTTGCCATTTGTGCTTTTCAGACAGCCTGAGAGCGATGGAGGAAAGGAGGCGCCAAGGTCAATCCAACTACACACCACAGGCCTGGTCCGATCACAGCGTTCACTGACATCCTTCAACGTGACGTAAAAATGACGTCACTAAAACGAAGCGGAGACAGATTCAGTCACTGCCGGGTGTATTTGAGCAGTGCTTTGTGACGCAGATGACATCAGAAAGGAAGATGTCAGGAAAGACAATTGAATGTGGGCGGAATTCGAATCGTAGCGCACTGTTGTGATGCGATTATTACGTCACTGGATTAGTTGACGTCAGTTGTGGTCAACTGTGTGAGGTGTTTACCTGCTTGATAATAACCATGCGAGTGAAATGCTTCAGTTTGAAAGTGTTGTCCGGTTCGACTTCGCTATTTTCCCGCTAATAAGAGTGGAATTAGGAATCGGTATAGGTACCTGTGGTCAGTCATCTAATTCAAACTAGATAACTCATCTTCCAAAGTAAAATAATATTGTTTGAGTAACTACTGAACACCATATAATAATTCTTAACCGTGGATTTGTGCATAATGTAGTGTTGGGTGAACTCAAAGTATTCTTCCATAATAGCTTCGCTGTGCGTGCAGTGCTCCAGCTACTCCATTTAAATGTCACGTGCATTTCAGTTTCTGACTCTGTATGCTCAGATTTATACACATTTTCTACATGACACCCATGACACTTTTTTGTGTGTTTCTCAAATGTTTAGTTCAGAAATCTGTTCGATTGTGGTATATAATAGCCGGAGATTTAGACGTGCCCATGGTGTGTCAAAAGTGGAAATAGCCGCCCGGCTTTAGTTCGCCAGCCTTGTCAATAGATGGCAGTACCACAATATGGGCAGCGGATCGTGCAATTGACGTCAAATTTTGTTATCTGCTAAGAATTGAATGGCGGATCTTTCCATGCAAGAATCAAGTAAATCGGTCCACAACTTTTCTAGCAACAGGGACATGAAGTCAAACACCCTGCCACAGCGGCGGCGCGGCGGCCGGCGGCGGCCGTTACGCGCCGCCCAGGCGCGCCTGGGAGCCTGGCGGCGCTGAACGGTTCCGACTTGGCACTGCACTAAAACCTGTTAACTGCTTGGAATAGTTATTTTAGCAAAATTTTCATTCAAGTGAGGAATAACCAAGGGCAGGAAGTATGTATGCTTGTATGCGTACTGTGTAATTCAAGAGACTGCATTAGCAGATACTCGCTAATATTAGATCCAGCCAAGTCCAAACGCATTCAAGGGGATGTGATTCTGATGGGTCAACAATATTTATCGTTCGAGGGCGGATACAGTTTTAACAATACAAAAAATATTTTTGCACAGCTCTATTCCTTGAATAATTCTCTTCAACGCCTCATTCCTAGTTAAGCGAATTAGCCCACCCTGGTTGAATAAATAAGGCGATTTCGCCACAAGGTCGCGGAAAACAGACCGAAAACGGCCGCGCTCAACGTTAATTTGGGCATGCAGACTCTTAAAAACTCGCATTGGGCGGGTAGGGTTTCCTAGGTATTGGCTCCAAAACACCGTATTCGGCTCCCGAATACGTCCAAGTGACCCGCCTCGTTCCTAGTTAAGCTCTAATTAGATCAAGTGACTCATAAGGAGCGAAAAAGCGACAAAAAGCATGAATTTCCCTATGGCGGCGGGCTGCCGGGTTGCCAGACGGCGCACCGGCTATTTCCACTTTTGACACACCATGCTGTTTTGTATTTTCTCACTATCTCGCGATGTCGGTTTGAATGAGTCCATGCCAGCAATGCCTTTCTCGGCGTGAGACGACTTGTGAATGTTGTTGACTGCTTCGATGCTGTTCTGGATCTGCCAGTCTGCTTTGCAATAAAAACACAACTGTTTCAAGAGAGCTGGTGAGCCTTACAGATGCAATTATGTTCAGCCCGTCTAAGCACGCTTTCTAAATTCATAGCCGTAACTTTCACTCAAATGACCTCTCAATTAACCCGCGCCCCGTAGGGCTACCGGCGGACCCTACCACCCGTAGGGGGGGGGGCGTTTCGGCCCCCCCTAAGATCTCGGAAAGTTACCGGACGATTTTCAAAATTCAAACGGCGTTCGATAGCCCCACCCGGGAACTACATTGTGACCAAATTTCATTGACCTAGGTCAAACCGATGACGTCACAGGTCAGGTCAAAGGTCAGATTTTCACCGTTCACAGGCAATTCAAGAAATGTGCTGTGAAAGCGAGTAAATTGGTAATTTATTGAAAACCATCGATGGTACATTGTTCGTCAAACACATACTTTGCTATCTGAGGTCACTGATACCAGGTCAGGTCACAGCGAGGTCAGGTCACCGGGGGTCACAATATGAATGTGTCGTGTGATGCATGCTTTATGGTCCATTTTACATGACAAATGCGATTATGTGGGTTAGGCAGCCTTTGGGGCCAGCCTAAGTCACGTTTTGGTGAAGGTCAGGTCAAGGTCAGGTCAAATTAGGTCAAATTTCAAAGTTGATATTTTTGCATAAAATGGGTATCGATTCGATGCAGCTCGTCACGGGGAGTCTGATGGTGGTCTTTGTTTTGCTCTACGAGTTCTAGAATTGCCAAAAATTGAGTTTGAAAATTTGACGTCATCATTTTTGAACAGTTTTTTCGCTATAACTTGGCCAAAAAACGAGGTATCGATCTGAAATTTGGTATGTGGATAGAAGACGGTAGGCACTATCACATATATTCCGATTTTTTCGAAACTCAAAAAACTGTTTGGATTTTTTGGCGAATATATCAAAAAAAATGCTTTTTTGATTTTTGGGGGTCAAAACTCAAAAATTTCAAAAATTCGAGATAGCAGTTTTTTAGCCCTGTCAATTCTACACCTTTTATGTCTTGATCATTTTTCTGTATCTTCAAAGCTGTAGTCCTGACAGGTCTTCTCGCGAAGGTCTTTTTTCGGTCGAAAATGACAGAACATGACGTCACTCTGACGTCATTTGTGGCCAACCTATGATAGCCTCTGGAAAAAGTTTTAGTCACAATGTGTAAAATTGATGCCCGGAGGGGTCCTGAAAGTTTGGTGGCGATATCTCCAGCCGTTTAGGAGATATCGACCGAAAAGGACAGGGGGGTCGTTTCGGCCCCCCCTACGGGGCGCGGGTTTTAAACATCGACCTATAGGCTGCATTGGAGCTTAGTTGATGTCGGTTTCATTGTAGCTCGGACTATTTGACCACAGCTTCTCATGTATGCGTATGTATTTATCATTAGTTGCAAGTGCGATAAAACTTCATTTGAAGACAAACGCAAAATTGTTTTATGCCCATTTCGCGGTTGAGTTGTTGGAGTCTGCTTGCCGTTTGATTTTAGCTCAAACGCTCTGTTTTCTCGTAACTACACTACCTACGCTTTCTTTCTATCGAAGTGAAAGCATTATGTGACTAATTTATGTCCCTCTGAATTGTTTGAATGGCTGATGGCTTGTTGCGCTACCGATCGTGGATTGAAACCGGGCAAATATATGCGTACAAGTGCATCCAATATCATAACTGCTATAAAAGATTGAAAAGCAAAGCTAGTGGATGAAAAGTCAACATCAACATACGACATGATCAGTTTACTATGGCTGAAGTTTTAACAATTTTACATCATCTCCCTACATTCTAACAACACAACTATCGCGTTTCAGCAATGCTGTCAGCAAAAGACCAAATTGCACACAACCATAAAACAAAAATAAACTCAACACCCCACTAATGACATTTTTGCACAATCATAACATCTGCTCGTTTTATCGATACATATCGATTTACAATATACATACATGTAATTTCGCATCAACCCATGACCTGCACTATTTGGATTCCTACACCTTGACGGCGACACTACGCGGAAAAGATACACTCTATCTAACATCGTCATCTGGATTGTTCCCATGTTTATCACACGGTTCACACAACAGCTGGCGTCTCCCCAGTCCGTCTCAGTCCGATACGGCTACCCGAGTCAACGCCTCGCTTCAGTTCGTCGTCCTAGCTCCAAGTCAGTCCCTGCCTAAGTTTCTCGCTTTGTTACTTTCCTCAGAACCCCGATTTAGCACTTCCCATAAGCTACGGATCAATTCCCCGCCTAACTATCCCGCCTCGATTCCTTTCCTCAATTTTCTCGCCTAAGCTTCCTCCAAAGCTCCCCGCCTCAGCACTCCGTATCACCATGACACTTCGCCTTTCACCTATCCTACTGTTTACCCTCTGTGCTGCGGCACAAACCTATGATTGTCCCGATGGCTGGACAGGCGTCAACGCACTCTGTTATAGGAGTCTTCCAGGGCCGGCGGATCAACCCACAGCACAAGCTATGTGTCAAGAGGAGGACGCAGCAGCCGTGCTGCCATCTATACACGACCTGGCAACCAATAGTATCCTGCTGGGCCTCTCTGGCAATCTGCCCTTCTGGACGGGACTGACCAATGCTACTGGTGAGAATGTTCTGAATGTACTAAATGTGAATTTTGAATGTATTGAATGCACAAAATGTGCCGGATACCAAACATACCGTTAGATTATACTAAATATGCCAAAATTACGATACCTAAATTGGCAATATTACTTCTTTATTACTTTTCTTTTTGGGTGAATGACCTATGCTTACTAAAAAGTAAAGAAAGCAATAATAATGTAGTCCTAAAATGAATTAGCTCATAAAAAAACATATATCATGAACCGAGTTAAGTAGATTTGCAGAGTGTGACTTTTTTATTGACACACATGACTTTTTCAATACAACCGTTTGCAGCGTTATGATTTCAGGACATATAGTGAAAATGCTAATGATGCCTTAACCCGCGCGGGGCTGGGGTCTCCAGCCGAACGCGCGGGGCTGGGGGGGGGGGTAAATTTTACCCCCCCCCCTGTTATCTCCCGAACTAATGGTCCGATTTGGAAAATTCAAACGCCAATCGAAAGCTCTCATCACGAACTACTAAATACATGTACTTAATTTAAAGTTTGAGGTCAAGGTCAAGGTCAGGTCAAGGGTACAAATTGCAAGTTTCTACAGTATCGGCCTTGCACCGTAGTTGCCGAAGAATGGAGTCATGGACTGAGACTGATCGCCCAAAACGTGTTCTTAGGCTACCAAGACAATATTAGTTGCATACAATATCATTCAGAGGTCAAGGTCAAGGTCAGGTCAGGTCAGGTCAGGTCACCAAAAAACAAAATATAGAAAAGGGCATGTGCGACACATGTTTTATGGGTCATTTTACTCATAGAATTCAATAGGCACACTCAATAAATGATATGGACCACCTCTGGATGAATTTCAGGTCGAGGTCAGGTCAAGGTCAGGTCAAGTGAGGTCAAATTTTGAAGTTGGTTGTTAAGGCCTAAAAAGGTGTCTATCTGATGCAGTTTTTCACGGCGAATCGAATGGTGCTATTTTTGTTTCCGTACGAGGTCTAGAACTTCCAAAAAAGTCATTTTTCAAAAATTTTGTGTGTCGTGACGTCATAAAATTTTGAATAACTCCCACATTTTTGAACCGATTCTTCTAAAATTTGGTATGTAGGTGCACATAGACCACTTCTCTGACATATATTCCGGTTTTTTCGATAGACTCCAAATTTTGGATTTTATAATGATTTTCCCAAAAAAATCAGTTTTTTGAAAAACTTTAGGCCAAAATCCAAAATTTTCAAAAAACCGAGATAGCCATTTGATAAACAAAGTAAAATTACGTATATCCTTTTTTGTTACGTCTTGATTCCTTTAAAAATGAAGATGTTAGCGGCGTTTGAACTTTTGCCGTTTTTGAGCCGAAAATGGCGAACATGACGTCACTAAAACGTCAATTTCTCAAAAATTTTCCGACGGATTTCGCTCAAATTTTCAGGGAAGGTGTCAAATTGATGTAAGAAAAGGTACTGAAAGTTTGGCGGCGCTGCGCGCCGCCGTTTTTGAGATATCGTAAAAATTCGCGAGGGGGGGTAAAATTTACCCCCCCCCCCCCAGCCCCGCGCGGGTTAACACCTCGCCATGCACATATGACGTCTTCCATCGGAATGGCATACCTCGTTATCATATTATTCTTCTACTGCCTAATTCCTTCACTTTTTAGTAGGTACTGAGCTATTAAACATATATTTTGTATCATTCACATCACTATTCACCATTCACTTATGACACCCACTATCGCATGACGCCATCAAATATGTCTACTACCATCTGGTGTTACCAATATGCCTATGACTCACACGCGGGGGCGCCGCCATGGTTTTACCTTTAGAGCTGCGATCGGTCCTACCAAAAATACACACTCCTAAAAATAAATATGCATTATAGAGACGAAATTATTTTCGGGGAACAGACCCCCGCAACTCTCCCCTGGCGGAGCCCCTAATGTCACGAATTAACCTATGACATCACGCACTAACCAATGACGTCATGCACTAACCAATGACGTCACTCCTCAGGTGGCGGCCAGGGACAGTGGAGCTGGCAGGACGGCTCTGCCACCGATTTCTCCAACTGGGCTCCGGGTATGCCGGTTCTGGATAACGGCAGAAAGGGCTGTGTGTGGGTTTATGAGGGCGATGGTACGTGGAGTAACGCCCAGTGTAACCTCCTGCTTGGGGATGTGATGTGCCAGCTCTGAGCCGGTGGTGTGACGTGACGTCACGTGTCGTGACGTCATATGATATGACGTCACATGCTATGACGTCATATGGTGTGGTATATGCTCTGACGTCACATGTTATGACATCATATGCTGTGGTATCATGTGATGCAACGCCATATGAAATAAAGTCTTATGGTTTGACGTCATTTGGGGTAACGTGCGTCAACTCTTACGGACAGCACAAATGCGTCCTAATTCTTCTCCAAGTCGTGTAAAAAAAA